CAAGTAATAGAAAAAAAGCAGCTTGCACTGTTATTAACAGTGATGGCTTCCTGAACACATTCTGTGGTGATCTGCAATACCCTCCTCTTCTAGCTCTCCTATGTCCAAGCCTCTCCCACTGTGAAATTCCTACTAGTCTATGAAACTCTACTGCAGCTTGACTTTCCTGAAGCCTTCTCTACCCCCTTCAAGCTTTTCCTGAGTTCATCTTCTACCTTAAACTAATCACCACATTGTTAAAGTTGTTTTCCCAGTCATCAGTGAGTCCTCAACAGAGAGAGAGAAAACATCGTATCTGCCTTTCTTTTCTAATCATACTAGACACTGACACAAGCAGGTGCTTCTCAAAAAGAGGAAGGAGGGAGGGGCCCACGCCATGGTGTAGTAAGCTAAGCCTTTGCAACAGCAGCTTTCCATGTGGGCACCTGTTCAAGTTCAGGCAGTTTCACTTCCGATATAGCTCCCTGCTTAGGACTTGGGGACTCAGCAGAAGATGGTTTAACTTCTTGGGCTGCTGTACCCACGTGGGAGACCTAGAGGAAGCTCCTGGCTCCTGGCTTTGGATCAGCACAACCCTGACCATTGCAGCCATTTGAGGAGTGAGCCACAGATGGAAGATCTCTCTGTCTCTCCTTCTCTCTTTAACTATGCCTTTTAAAATAAAATAAAATAAAATAAATCTGGGCCCGGCGCGGTGGCGCAAGTGGTTAAAGGTCCTCGCCTTGCACGCCCGGGATCCCATATGGGCGCCGGTTCTAATCCCGGCAGCCCCGCTTCCCTTCCAGCTCCCTGCCTGTGGCCTGGGAAAGCAGTCGAGGATGGCCCAAAGCTTTGGGAACCTGCACCCGCGTGGGAGACCCGGAAGAGGCTCCTGGCTTCGGATCGGCATAGTATCGGCCCGTTGCGCTCACTTGGGGAGTGAATCATCGGACGGAAGATCTTCCTCTCTGTCTCTCCTCTCTGTATATCCGCCTTTCCAATGAAAAAATAATAAAAATAAATCTTTAAAAAAAAAATAAATAAAATAAAATAAATCTTTAGAAAAATAAATAAAAAGAGGAGAGAGAAAGGATAGTAAAGGGATTCTTCATACCTAAGCTGTTGATAGATACCACTTGAATTAGAACCTGGGATTGGTGAAACTGCCATCTACTGGAAAAGCTCCAGCGATCTGCACCACTCTAGGCTGCTATGTGAGCCCTGCATTACCAGCACTACCTTGGAAGTATTAACATTAGTATTGAGTGCTGCTGTATGAAGCTTCTTACTTACTTGCTTCCCTAAATGGAAGAATCCACCTTTTCCTATTGATATCTGGCGAATTTTGAAAAGATAATGTTTCTAATAATTGATATTTATTAACAATGTGTAACATTACTGATATCTTTGCTTCCATGTTTTTCATACACTACTTAGTATTCTTCACAATAGTCCAATGAAGTAGATGCTGCTGTTCCAATTTAACAAATTGGGGGTGAAGGGAGAAGAAGTTCAGTGGGGTGAACTAAACTGTCCAAGGACTGCTCATTGAAACCCAGACAGTGTAATGAGTCCAGTTATGCATTTTAAAATCTTTGAAAGGTGGATTCCAAATCTCTTTGCTAATGGTAAGCAACTTCTCTGACGTTCAGTTTCCATGTAATATAAAATGGTAGTATTTATCCCAAAAGGATAAAAAAGCATGGCACATAACTATATAATAAATGTTAGCTGCAGTTGCATCTTCTGAACTTCTGTTATGAGTTCTGGAAAAATGATGACAGCAGAACAAGACATGACACAAGTAGGCAAATAACCATTGAGTAAATAACTTAGTGTCCTCTGTCTTGTATATAAAAGTGTCAGCTAGCAAATGTTTTCCACCATGGCCAAGTTTTTTGTGTGTCTGTGATCACATTTATTCCCTTAATTTGAAGATGTAGCTTCAGTATTTAATAGTTAATGTACAGCGCAAGATCAGTGATCTGTCTACCAGACTTAACTTCCAGAAGATGTGGAAACTACGTGAGTTAACTTTTTTATAAAATAGTTGCCCTAGTGGTTCTGTAGCATAGACCTCTTAGTACCATTCAACAAAGAAAAACCATAAACACAGCTGCTGTTTTGGTATTGCTTGTGGTTTTGGTTTTGTTTTTATTCGAGCTTTTTCATGCAAGCAGATCGTCATTTAAAAGTAGTCATTTGGCATTTTCTCTTGCATTCTTCACATTTTTTGTTTTTAAAAGTTATAGCTTAAGTTACTTCTGCTATAGTGTAATAGTGAGTCATTTTGGTCTTTTTACTACCTGGGAATTTTCTTTTAAAAATGTAACATGGGATCCGGCGTGATAGCATAGAGGCTAAAGTCCTAACCTTGAACGCACACCGGTTCTAATCCTGACAGCTCCACTTCCCATCCAGCTCCCTGCTTGTAGCCTGGGAAAGCAGTCAAGGATGGCCCAAAGCTTTGGGACCCTGTACTCATGTGGGAGACCTGGAAGAGGCTCCTGGCTTCGGAATAGCTCAGCTCCAACCGTTGCGGGTGCTTGGGCAGTAACTCATTGGATGGAAGATCTTCCTCTCTGTCTCTCCTCCTCTCTGTGTATCTGCCTTTCCAATAAAAATAAATCTTAAAAAAAAATGTAACATATGGGATCAATATATTTTAAAACCTGTTTCAGGGTAATCTCTGTTGTTAGTGTGAGTGTGAAGAAAGGTATTTCATCTATCAGAAAATAATTTTCCTATATTTGCCGTTGTTTTTCAAGTAATTTCTGTTCCCAGAGGTGGGAAGAAGGCTGGAAATACCTGCTATTCCTACTCCTCGCCTTCTTCATATTTTTTAGCTCTGAATCATACTATTAACTGCTTGTTACAACCAAGAATTTATACAGAAGAAACGTGATTAATTAGCTTACCACTGTCTTTGGGTCACAGTGGGTCTGAAGTGGAGAACTGTAGGGAACAAAGATGCATAGGGGACCATTTAGGCAGGCCTTTGCAGTGATCTGAACAGGAAGGAATGGTGGCCTGTGCCTAGGTACTGAGAATGGCGTAAAGGAATGTAGATGGATTAATGAGAGAATTGGTTGATGGATTTCATGACTGGGGAACATCCAGCCCACAGGCCTAGTAAAGCTCATGAAATCATTTGGTCTGACCCTGCCAAAGCAACTGCAGGTAGGATTCAGAATTCAGTAAATCTACAATAGGTTAATCTTTAAGTTGATAATTTTGTATGACCTGCATATGTTACAAATATAAAATTGTCTTAACAGAAAAAGTTTCCCCACCCTTGGATATTAATGACTATGAGGTAGATGAGAGGAACCCAAGATGGGGACTTCTGGGCTGGATGTGTCATGTTGCTCACTTGCTTCTCCTTTTGCTAAACTCCCGCTTATCCTGAAGGGTTCTGTTTACGTTACCTCCTCATGGCAGCCTCCATCGATCTGGATGACCACATGATACTTATGTAGAGTCTGGCATGATAGCATTCATTCTAAGTTGTAAACTCATAACATATGAATAAGCTCTTCATTCTTGTCTTGTGTCTTGTGAGTATAAAGGTCCTATCTGCCTTATTTTTCATTGTATCCACAGTACCTAATGTGGTCCAAAGACCGCATCTTTACAGTCTTGGTGAAAAGGAGATGTGTGATGTATACCTCTTGTACTTGATAGAGGAATCACATATGTTAGGTTGTCTAAGCCTTTTTGATTGTTTTCTCTAGTTTAATTTTCTTTTTCAGCCAGTATCATTTGTTACATTTGGTTGTACTTCTACAATTTAGCTACTAAATAAATATATAAAGCAAGGAACAAACATGCTTTGCCACTTTGGTAAGATTTTTCCAAATGAACCCCAAGCATGTTGAAGTCTTAAAAAATTAGGAACTTTTAAGTTATAATAGTATTTAACAGTTTTAAAATATTACAGGTTCTTAGTTCAGATGGTATAAGCATACTGACAAAGTCATGACTCTTAGTTGTGTTTAAATCAGTTCATTTCTGTTAGAAATATTAAGACTGGGGGCCTAATGCGGTAGCCCAGTGACTAAAGTCCTCGCCTTGCACACGCCAAGATCCCATATAGGAGCAGGTTCTAATCCCAGCAGTCCCACTTCCCATCCAGCTCCCTGCTTGTAGAGGATTGCATAAAGCCTTGGGACCCTGCACCCACATGAGAAACCCAGAAGAGGCTCAGGGCTCATAGCCTCAGATCGGCTTGTTTCCGCATTACGGCCGCTTGGGGAGTGAAGCAACGGACAGAAGTTCCTCTCTCTCTGCCTCTCTATATATCTGACTTTCCAATAAAAATAAAATAAATCTTAAAAAAAGAAAAGATTGGCCTTAAAAAATATTAAGACTGGCTTATTTGAGAGAACTCGTGGGTCATTCCATCAGATTTCAGAGAAATTGTGCTATTGTGAGTATGTGCCTAAAGCTTACTTTAAGAACATAGTATTCTAAAATATTAATTACATAAACTAAAATTAGTTTCCCCTACCCCCAAAAATGGAAATGGAAAAGATAGATTTAAGACAAGACAAGACTGAGCCATGTTAAATTCTTGTTACAGCCATATTGGGGGTACAGGTGAAAAAAGGAAAGGATTTAGTTTCTCTGGCTTCATCTTTATTTAAAGAAGAGCAGTAGAATAATAATCTATGAAAATTCTTTCTGGCCCCAATTGTGTTACATTACAAATCAACATGGTAAAGGTGGCATGTGATGGGAATTTTGGTATGAATTACAACTTACTTGCCAGTCTTTCTATTGCCTTAGCTTTGTCTTAAAAAATGCAATCAAATTAGTGTTTGAATGACTTTATTAAATTGAATTTAATGCAAATTATTTTTCTAATCAACTGAAATAGATTTTTAAGTAAAATTTGAGCAACCATCTATTATGTATTTTCCTAATCAAATCAGAGTACAGAAAACGAATTCGTTAACAGCCCCAAGGAATGTATTTGGTAGGTGCTGCTTTCTTAACAGGTGTTTTCTTCTTTGATTTAGGTTTCTGCTTCGGAACAACCATATATATAACTCCTTCAAATAGTTTTACATGTGAAATTTGTAAAGGATCAGAACAATGCCTCCACGACCATCATCAGGTGAACTGTGGGGCATCCACTTGATGCCCCCAAGAATCCTAGTAGAATGTTTACTGCCAAATGGAATGATAGTGACTTTAGAATGCCTCCGTGAGGCCACATTAATAACTATAAAACATGAACTCTTCAAAGAAGCAAGAAAATACCCTCTCCATCAACTTCTTCAAGATGAATCTTCTTACATTTTCGTAAGCGTTACCCAAGAAGCAGAAAGGGAAGAATTTTTTGATGAAACAAGGCGTCTTTGTGACCTTCGGCTTTTTCAGCCCTTTTTAAAAGTAATTGAACCAGTAGGCAATCGTGAAGAAAAGATCCTGAATCGAGAAATTGGTAAGATACAGTTTTCAACTTGCTGACATTGTCGTCCTGTTCTAAGATACAAATAACTATGAAGCTTGGTTTTTGTCACATTTCTGATCCAGAACCTTTTTAATCAAATTAATTTTTAGTAATATGTAATTATAAATCTGAAGTCCTTTTTACTGTGGAACTTTGGAACTATTTTCAACACCTTGATATTACTTGATAAAATTTTCTTTAGGAGGTATCATTTATGGATGAATAACTGATTTAGGTAATGTTTTCTGCCTTTAACCTGCTGAATGTATTTTATTTGAGACCTTGTCAATACTTACTATATATATTCATAAAAAAATAATTTTAACCCAGAGAAACTTATTTATTCACCTATAAAATTGCCTGTTTGTAATACAAATATCATATCATATACTGTGTTTAATTGGATGCTGTGTTCTTTATATCTTCTTTTTAAGGTTTTGTTATTGGCATGCCAGTGTGTGAATTTGATATGGTTAAAGATCCAGAAGTACAGGATTTCCGAAGAAACATTCTGAATGTTTGTAAAGAAGCTGTGGATCTCAGAGATCTCAATTCACCTCATAGTAGAGCAATGTATGTCTATCCTCCAAATGTAGAATCTTCACCAGAACTGCCAAAGCACATATATAATAAATTAGATAAAGGTAAGAAAATTGTCACTCTAACATAATCATTGCTATAGTAAAATCTGCTCTCTGTTCCTGAATTTTAGTACATTCGGTGCCTAACCAGATAATACGGTTCTTAATGACAGGGACTGCTTAGTGACAAGATGTAGGTGAGCACCAAATATACAGTTTAGTTTACTAAGCTATGTATGTATCGTGCTGATCACTTGGCAAATTATTATTTACTCCAAATACTGAAGAATTTGAGTTTGAAATTCACTCTTTGGGCCAGGGCTGAGGCATAGAAGGTAAAACTGCTGCCTGCAATTCTAGCCTTCCTTATGGATTCTGATTTAAGACCCGGCTGCTCCCCTTCCAGTCCAGCTCTCCACATGGGTCCCTGAGAAAGCAGCAAAAGGTGGTCCAAGTGTTTGGACTCCTGCACCCACAGGGGTAATGCAGAAGAACCTCCCAACTCCTGGCTTCCTTCTGACCCAGGACCAGCCATTGCAGCCATTCAGAGAGTGAACCAGCAGATAAAAGATTTAGATCTCTGCCTGTCTCTCCTGCAGTCTGCTCTCTCCTTCTGTCTGTGTAACTCTTTCAAATAAATAAACCTTCTAAATTTTTCACTCTCTTTTTAGATAATAACAGAATTAAAGTTGATTTAACTGTTTACAAATTAAAAATTAGGATAAATGAAAATATTTTATAAAATTTTGAGAAAAGTCTATGTGTTCTCATGTCATTATTATATAAAATAGTTTTAATTGATGTTAAATTTGGTAATTAGGTATCATAATGAGTGATCATGTAGAGGTAGACTTGACATATCAGTTTGTAAAATGGACCTTCGTTAAGTTACTGTTTTGTAAGTAAATGTCAGTGCATCCAAAATTCTTTTCTACTATAGCTTGATTTTAAGATAGAATACTCTTACTGCTTTTCTCCAACATTTTTACAAAAATTTCTAACAAATAAAAAGTTGAAATAATTGTCCTGTTAATACCCAACCACTTTAACATAGCTTTGTTAAATTAGTTGATTGATTTTATTTGAAGACAGAAAGAAAGCTAAAAAAGCAGGTTGACGGTTTTCCCATCTGCTGGTTCTTTCCCCAAATACTCGTAACATTCAGAGCTGGGCCATAATGAAGTTGGGAACAGGAACTCAATCCAGGATTCCCACGTGAGTGATAAGGACCCAGTTACTAGAGCAACCACGTGCTGACTCCTAGGATGCTCATTAACAGGAGGCTGGAATTGAAAGCAGTACCTTAAGAGTTCACTTTACGGTATTAATAGTTTTATTTGTGTGAGTTTCTCTAATTTCCTCAGTTTAATTGATCTTAAAAAAGAGAAAAATCAGAAATCCCTTTCCTGTTGCCTCCTAATCCTCTAGTGGTCCGTACCTCATCTCTAGCATTCCAACTTAGCGTCTTTATGTCTCTTTATTATTTGCTTTTTACTTCCCATAGTTACCAAAAATCCTGTCTGTCTTGCTGTCATGAGTCATTCTTCACAGGTGGCACACATGAACTATGTTACACGCTTTAGAATGAAAATGAGCCTAGTCTATGTATTTATGAGTAGGCATAGATGTAGTTTCATAAAACATGAGTTTGGAGTGTGATCTGGCAGTGCTATCAGGTAGGATTCTTGTTTCTACCTGATATTTATCAATATTTGGTTAGAATTATAATAATTTCTGATATACTCTGTCTAATGATCATTCATACATTCTGAAATTTGTCTCATAGAAGTGGATGTTGTGATTGCATGTAATAATGTTTTCCTGTTATAGGGCAAATAATAGTGGTGATTTGGGTCATAGTTTCTCCAAATAATGACAAGCAGAAATATACTTTGAAAATCAACCATGACTGTGTACCAGAACAAGTAATTGCCGAAGCAATCAGAAAGAAAACCCGGAGCATGTTGTTATCCTCTGAACAACTAAAACTTTGTGTTTTAGAATATCAGGGCAAGTATATTCTAAAAGTGTGTGGATGTGATGAATATTTTCTAGAAAAATATCCCCTGAGTCAGTATAAGGTAAGTAACAAGTTCAAGAGTATTAATTTTAGATTTAACAAGTAATCACATTGAGAACTAGTGTCTGTTTTAGGATGTGCTTTTAATTAACATTAGTAAATAAGTTTTTAATGCTGTAATTGTTTAACTTTAGGAACTGATAATATTGGTAGTTACACTAATCCCAAAATATGGGATATTTCATTTTTGATCCCATCCCAAGCAGTGATACTAGAATAGAATTAAAATGAACATGTAAAAATTCATAGTTGATAGTGAAGATATATTGTTTATAATGTCCTATTAGCACTATTTTATTCTTGTTCGTATTCATTAAATACTTACAACAAGCAACTATGTGGCAAGTACATACCAAATACTCATTTATAAAATCATCCATACTTGTATGAGCCTCCTCTTTATGTTTTTCTGTTTCTTTTCTTTCTTTCTTTTTTCTTTTTTTTTTTCTGTTTCTTAAAAAGAAAAAATACGTTTCTTAGAAAATATTTGAGCAGGATGTGACTTTGCAGATTGGGTGACAGTCTTTAACAAATGATATTACTTATTTGTTTAAGTACCTATTCATAATTAGTATCTTCTGACCTTTACGGATTTTGTTTTTGTCCGTTATATTATTTGCTTATGAATAAGGATAGAACTGTTGTGTCAAAACCTGACTTAATTTTGTTCATATGTGTACTGTATATTTAGAAGTGCTTGGTTGATCTGTACTATAGCATAGTTCTCAGATGGTAGTATTTTTTAATGTTACAAATTCAGCAAGTGCTAAGAAATATCATCTATAATGTTTGATTTTTTTCCTAAACCTATGCAGATCAGTATATAAACTCATAATCCTATTACATGTTGCTTTTAAAATGAAAAACATTATGGGAAATGACTCTGTCCTTCCTCCTTAACTCTTTTACAGTATATAAGAAGCTGTATAATGCTTGGAAGGATGCCCAATTTAATGCTGATGGCTAAAGAAAGCCTTTACTCGCAACTGCCAATGGACTGCTTTACCATGCCATCTTATTCCAGACGTATTTCTACTGCTACACCGTATATGAATGGAGAAACATCTACAAAATCCCTTTGGGTCATTAATAGTGCACTCAGAATAAAAATTCTTTGTGCTACCTACGTGAATGTAAATATTCGAGACATTGATAAAGTAAGGTCAAGTACTTAAGCTTACTGTTTCATAGAAAATATTTTGTTGAATTATGTGGTGTATTTTCAGATGACTTAGAAAAGCACCTGAATCTCAAAATAAAAAAAATATGTAATGGATTCTGTTAGTTTCCATCTGCTGTACCAGTTACACAGCTCACAGCCCTTTGTCTGTAATCCTCATGTTCATAATTCTAATATTTGGATAATTGTAATATCCATAATTGTAAACTGTTAAAACTGAAAGTTTTTCAGAAATCATTTTGTCAGCAAAACCTTTGACCTAAAATGATGTTTTTTGTAGGCTTTAATCCCACTTACTAGAAATATTTGTCTTGTTATAAAACTATTAATTTCTTTTACATTCTGTTTCAACTCCTCTAGTTCTTAAGTCGTATTCTCATGTATGCCAGTTTATCTTTCCAAAATGTTTAAAAACTGAATTACGTTCCTGGCTTACTGGAATTGTTGTACTATTATGTTTTCTGAGTAACATGTCATCCCTATTGTTATTAATGGATGAAGGCAGCAGCAAATTTTGGAGAAAAATCTGTATTGGTGTTAATTTATTATACAAGCATAGGAAGAAAAGAATAGAAAAGCTATATCTGAACAAATTTTTCACTTGTTCTCAATTCAGTTGCATTATTTTTAGTGTGTAACATTTAGTTCTGTCTAGTATGCATGTGTACATGTATATATATTTTTTAGTATATCTATCTGTACACATATATCTTTTTTTTTTTTTTTTTAGATCTATGTTCGAACAGGTATCTACCATGGAGGAGAACCTTTATGTGACAATGTGAACACTCAAAGAGTCCCTTGTTCTAATCCCAGGTGAAACACAGTTTGAATAGTATATCCAAGAGTATATCAGTATTTAGCAATGTGATTAATAAAGGTTGTATATATTATTTTTTAAGAAAAAAATGCATTTATTTGTTTTATGTGAAAGAGTTACAGAGAGGGAAAGAAAGAGGTAACTTACTCCTGCTGATTCTGTCTACAAATAGCCACAAAAGCCAAGAGTGACCAGTCTGAAGCCAGGAGCCTAGAACTCCATCTGGGCTTCCCAGTAGGTAGCAAGGAGCCAAGCCCTTATGTCTTTTCAGCTGCTTCCTCAGGCAGTTAACAGGGAGTTGGATCAAAGTGGAACAGCCAGGACTTGAATGCTCAAATAGGATGCTGACATTGAAGGTACCACAATGCCAGCCCCAGTCAGTAATTTCATATCAGTAGTTTAATACAAGTTATGTAAATTACCAGACATTTACATATAGGGCATAAGACCTTTATATCAAATGAGTATCGCTGACAGAATCACTCCATTGATTCTCCCTAAAATTTTATTGAGAAGGTTTTTGATCTTCCTATTTAATACGGAGAGAACAAAATTTGGTTAAAGCTTTCTCCATTCCTGATAATATGAAGATAAGAGTTGGATAACAACTCATAAGAGAAACCAAATTATCGCATACAATTAACAGATCTTTGGGAATAAATCAGTTTCTCAGGAGGTCTGGGAAGTTGTTGGGAACATTGTAAATTGTTACTATGGGCTGACTTTGCAGCATAGTAAGTTAAGGTGCTGCCTTGCAACACTGGCATTCCTTAGGTGCCGGTTTGTGTTTCGTTAACTCCCTGATAATGCACCTGGGAATGCAACGGAAGATGGTTTAAGTACTTGTGTCCCTGTTGCACACATGGCAGATCAAGATGAAGTTCCACTCTGGGAGCTTCAGCTTGTCCCAACCTCTGCCATTGCAGCCTTTGGGGAGTGATCTACTGGATGGAAGATATTCTTTCCCTTCCTCTCTTCCTGCCTCCCCCTCTCTGTCCTTCTCTTCCCTCTATCTCCCTTCCAAATTAAATCATATAAGGTTTCTTCTGTTAAGATTTGCGATTTTTTTTTTAAAGATTTTATTAATTTTTGTTGGAAGGGTAGGTTTACAGAGAGGAGAGCTTCTAATGAGCTTCTATTCGCTAGTTCACTCCCTAAATATCTGCAACAGCCAGAGCTGAGTCATTCCAGTGCTAGAGCCAGGAGCTTCATTTAGGTCTTTCACATGAGTGCAGGGTCCCAAGGTTTTGGAAGATCCTCCATTAGTTCCCCAGCCAAAAGCAGGGATCTGGATCAGAAGTGGAGCAGCCAGGACACAAGTTGATTTCTATATGGGATGCCAGAGCTTGTTGGCAGAGGATTAGCTAATTGAGCCATTGTGCCAGCCCCATAAGGGCTAGTCTTACAACTAAGTTGTTTTAGGTAGCTACATTCTTGAACCTCAGTAAAATTTAAAGGCTTCCTTACAAGCAGGAAACAGTTTCTCACCCAGTCTGAACCACTGTAGAGCAGAAAGCACATCAGTCAGGTTAGAAATTATGCTGGGGTAATACAGAAAACTCCAGGATATCTCTTAATTTTTACTAAAACAACTTTTTATTTTCCACTCATACTACATATTTGTCATAGTTGGACAAAGTAGTTATAAGAAGAATAGAAAAACAGTACTTGAGGAAATAATGGTTACATACTTCCAAATTTGGTCAAAACTATGTAACCACCAACCCAAGTATTCCAGCAAGCCCCAAGGGAAAACTCCAGTATGATTGAGTAAATTTATCCTAGTTACTTCAGGTACCAAAAATAAACTTTATAAAATTTAGATATGTAAAGTTTAAAAACTCTGTTAATAAAAAGTTAGAAATGAATGATTATGAAATAATTAGGAAGATAGAAAAACATTATAAAGATTCTTATGGAAATTGGGTACTTGTTCTAAATCTGTGCTTTCCCTAAGCCAGATAAATTATATACTTTATGACTTCTTCAGAAATATCACCTTCAAAACCAGAATTGCTTTGGCATAAACACTCATATAAAAATAACCATTTCCGAAAAACAAACCATGTTTGTGTGTATTGTGGGATGGATGGAATTCAGAAGAGAGAAACATGCATTATTCTGACCATGCAGTGATGAAACAAATAGATTCATAGGACATAACTGTCTTAGCATTTGGGGGCAGGGATTGTGGCAGCGAAGATGAAGCCATTCATTGGGTGCCTGCACCCCTTTGAGTGCCTGGGATTGAGTGCTTCCCAGCTCTGCTCCAGTGCAACTTCTTGCTGATGCACATACTGGAGTAAAGCAGATGAAGGCCAGGTATTCTGGTTGCTGCCATGTAAGAGACCTGAATGGAATTCCTCGCGCTCAGCTTTGGTCTGGCCCAGCCCCAGACTGTTGGGGACAACTGGAGAGTGACCTAGTAGGTGACAGGTACCTGGAGAGAGAGAATATTTTATCTTTAAAATAAAACTTTGAGAAAACAAAGGTGTATCAAGCATTTTATTTACCATAAATTTACAAACAGTTCAGAAGATCCAACAGTAGTAAAAAAGTTCTAGATATGTTTAAATGTATCTTTAGTTTTCTTAAAATATTATGGACTTACTCCCACGGAATTTCTTCTTGTATTTCTACAATAAGCCTTACTGAATTTGGGGGTGGTTTTGGTTTGGGTTTTGACAAGTTTGTTTGTTTGTTTGTTTGTTTTTGCCTTTAGAACTCTTGTCAAGTTATCCTACGTTATCTTGTAAATTTTTTTAAATTTCCATCTACTTGTTAGTAATTAATGTTGATTTTAATTGCTACAAATATTGTATTAATATCACAGATGGTTTTGTTTTGGACATTTCTATTGCTTGCAATTCAGAAATATTATACATCTGCTTTTAACATTCTGTGCACAAAATGCACATATTTGTGTGACTCTGTTTCTAGATGTGGAACTGGATCATAAGATATGCATATGTTCACTTTTGATAGATTGTTTTCCAAATTGATTATGATAATAAATTATACCCCATCTTCAGTGTGTGAAATGTCTGGTTGCTGCACATTCTTATCACCCCTTGGTTACAATTTCCATGAAATGTTAATATTGAGTACTTTTTCAAGTTTAATAACTATTTGAATATGATCTTAGAAATTTCCTGTTCTAGTTAATCACTTGCCTGTTTTGTTGTTTGTTTGTCCTTTTTTTTTTATGAATTGTAGAAGTCAGTTATATACTCTGGAAAAAGCCTTTTTCTTGGTAAATGCTTTACTCTTAAAATTTTACATAGGTGGAATGAATGGCTGAATTATGACATATACATTCCTGATCTTCCTCGTGCTGCTCGACTTTGCCTCTCCATTTGCTCTGTTAAAGGCCGAAAGGGTGCTAAGGAGGTAAGGTATCTCAGAAGAAACAACTATATTTTCCTATGAAAATTCCTAATTATATGACTAATTAGATTTTCTTCACAAAATAATTATTACTCTTTTCTTTATTTTAAAAAACATATTTTTAATTTTTAATGAATTGTTGTAGAAGAATACATTGGGAGAGTTTCTAGAATTTACTTATGAGTAGTGTGTCCTGAGTTAATATTGATTAAAACTTTTAAACGTATACAGCAAGTACTTAGCAGTGACTAAATATAATTATCTGCCATCTTTGCTTTGGTTCATATTCCTGATTAGTTTTAAGATTTATTTTTTTTAGGGCCAGTGCATTGGCTCAACTTGCTAATCCTCCAACTTCTAAGTACTGCATGCCATATGGGTGGCAGTTCATGTCCCAGCTGCCCCACTTCCATCCAGCTCCTGCTTATGACCTGGGAAAGCAGCAAAGCACGGCCCAAAGCCTTGGGACCCTGCACCATGTGGGAGACCCAGGGGAAGGTCCTGGCTTTGGAATGACTCAACTCCAGCTATTGCAGCCATTTTGGATAGTAAGCCAGCAGAGGAAAGATCTTAGTCTCTCCTTATCTCTGTAAAACCTGCCCTTCTACTAAAAATAAATGCTTTTAAAATTTATTTATTTATTTATTTATTTATTTAAATGGCAGAGTTTGAGAGGGGGAAAGACAGAGAGAAGGAGATATTCAGTCCATTGATTTACTCCCCAAATGGCCAAAATTGCCAGGGCTTGGCTAGACTGAAGCCAAGAACCAGTAGCTTCTATCAGGTCGTTCAGGTGGGTACAGGGGCCTGAGCACTTGGGTCATTTTCTGCCTCTTTCCCAGATACATTGGCAAGGAGCTGAATTGGAACTAGAGCCAGTCATACTTGAGAAGGCATCCATATGGGATGTTGGTGCGACAGGCAGCAGCTTTGCCCACTGTACCACAATCCCATCCTCATTTATAAAAGAAAATACATGTAATGACAAATGAGAAAAAGGAAAGAAAGTAATTATACTTTGAAAAAACTCATTGTGACTTTTTATGACTCTCATACTGCTATCACTATAGATAGTTGTTGGATTCTGCCTTCTAGAGAGGTCTTCTGAAACGAATATTCTTTGTTTTTGTTTGTTTGTTTTAAGGAACACTGTCCATTGGCTTGGGGAAATATAAACTTATTTGATTACACAGACACTCTAGTATCTGGAAAAATGGCTCTAAATCTTTGGCCAGTACCTCATGGATTAGAAGATTTGCTGAACCCTATCGGTGTTACTGGATCAAATCCAAATAAAGTAAGCTGTTCATTATCACAAATTAGGTTATTTTCTTTCTTTTTTATTAATGATAACCAAACACTACATATGTGTAATAACTATTTTTTCTGTCTCTTAGGAAACTCCATGCTTAGAGTTGGAGTTTGACTGGTTTAGCAGTGTAGTGAAATTTCCAGATATGTCAGTGATTGAAGAGCATGCCAATTGGTCTGTATCCCGAGAAGCAGGATTTAGCTATTCCCATGCAGGACTGGTAAGGCACCTCACTGAGTTTCTTAAGAATCAACCATAACGTGTAGATTTGATTACATACTCTGTGTGGATGAGATGATGTATCCTAGTTATACTCCATTGATACTATGAGCCCTAGGACGGTATGGGGAAGAATGAAATGCTCTTTATATTAATATTTTTATTGCTTCACTGCTTTTCTTTTTACGAAAATATTAAATCAAAGCAGAAATACAAGATTATTAACCGTGGTAGGTGTAATGAAAGAAAAAATAAAGTGTGCTAAGACTAAATGAGAGTTGAGAGGGAATCAGTTTAGAGAAAAATCAGTGAAGATTTTTCTGAAGTAGTAACCTTGAACTTGAGACTAAAGCTTAAATACTTTGCTAGTTGAGCTTGGAAGCAGAGGAAATAGCAAATCTTCAACATACTAGTTCAGGTTATCCAAAAAAGAGTATATTGGATTAATTTAGTTTTTTAGTCTTGGTAATTACTTTCAAACTACAGTATAACTGAATTCAAGGACCATTAACTGTCCTCATTTCTCAAAGACAAATATGTTAGTGCTAAGATATTTTTTACCATTTGGTATCTTTCTCCCAGTTTCAAATTTACCACTTTTTTAGGAGTGGGAGAGTTGGCGGGGGATGGCTGCAGCCCTGTGTAGGTAATAGATAGGCCAGTCAATGAAAATTGGTCTAAGAGGTCCTGAAATATGTTTGCCTCAGAAACAGTAACAGCAACACCCAGAGGCAGCCTGGAACACTGCACTAGGGAATTTTTTTCAGTGTTTTACAGCAGTCTTCTCAATCAGTTTAGCAATTATTTTTGTAAACTAAGTAATATAATATCTTTCCTGCACTTAATTTCAAAGATGAGTTTCTTCCTTGAACAGTTCTCTTTTTCAGGATTGTTATTTCATACCTTGTAGTTTTTCTCAGAACTTACTTCCTTTAAAAGAAAAGGAGGGAAATATTTGAATACTAAAATAAAGCAGTCTGTCTTTAAAATACCCTCTGGGACTATAAGCAGCTTTTGTATATCTAAGATACATTATGAGATATCAGATTTTCTGTTTTTAAAAACGTTTTACTGCTTCATCATCCTAAGAATTATTTCATCATTTTCCACTAATTATTTCTAATTCTGTTACAAAGAAATAACAGAAAAATAAAGAGAAGACTATTCTAGTCTTAGCCTTGAATGGTGATGCACTGTTGAGATAAATCATCACTATTATGTCATCTTTTAGTTTTGTTAATGCATTAGCCAATGCAGTTTTCTCATCGATTGGGCTCTCTAAGGCTTTCATTGAACATGGTGAGAATTCCTAATTTTTCAGCTTCTACTCATAGTAACAAAGAAAAAGATAATTGAGACAAAGAAATTGTGTAACTATTAGACATACTACAATGTAAGTAAAAAAAAAAAATAAGACTCTAGAACAGAGTTTTTCAGTCAAGCACCATCCACATTTTAGATCAAATGGTTGTTTGTTACAGGGTATATCCTCCTGTGCATTACAGCATGCTCAGCAACATCTCTGGCCTCTAGTCAGATACCAGGAGAGAGACAGATCTTTTCATCTACTGGTTCACTCCCTAGATGAAATCAACCAAAGCCAAGATCCAAGAGCTTTATCTGTGTCTCCCTGCCACTTGCATGGCAGGGCCCAAGTACAGGAACCATCTTCTCCTGCCAGGCCATTAACACCTGGATCAGAACTGGAGCATCTGGGACATTAAAGGATGCCCATGTGATGCCAGCAGTGCTGGCCCTTGAGTAATGTCTTTCTAAGGGCAAAAAAGGAAGTCGTTCAACAGATAGTCATTCAACAGGAATTATTTACTCATGCAAAATTTTGTGACTGAATTTGAAAAGCCTCACACTTTTGCAGTATTCATTGCATTTTTCTATAGGTTTATTTTTATTTATTTGAAAGGCAAGAGTTAAAGAGAGAGGAAAAAACAGAAAAATAGTGATTTTCCCATCCACTGTTCACACCCTAAATAGTTGCACCAGGCATCTGGCACAATGGCTTGGTGGCTAAATTCTTGCCTTGCATGCACCAGTTTCCCATATAGGCACTGGTTAGTGTCCCAGCTGTTCTGCTTCCCATCCAGTACTCTGTTTATGACCTAAGAAAGCAGTAGAAAATATTTTTGCCCAAAGTCTTGAAACCCTGCACCCACATGAGAGACCCAAAAGCTGCTCCTGGCTCCTGGCTTCAGATTGCAGCTCCAGCCATTGCAGCCACTAGGGGAGTGAACCAGCAGATTGAAGATCTTTCTTCTCTCTGTATATCTGCCTTTCAAGTCAAAATGAATGAATCTTAAAAAAAAAAAAAGAGCTGCAAAAGCCAAGGATGGAACAGAATGAAGCCGGGAGCCACTTGTTCTCCCATGTTGGTGATGGCATCAACAACTTGGATTATTTTCCGTTACTTTTCTAGGTACGTTAGCAGGAAACTGAATCAGAGGAACAGTTGGGACTTGCACTGATGCCCAGATGGGATGCTAGTGGGCAGTACTTTCACCATTACACCACAGTGCCAGCCTCTCTTTCTATCTTGGATGATAGTATACATCAAACTTTATCAGATAGATTTCTAAATGGTCAAATGCTGAAGCCACTGAGACCTACAAAGTTGATGACAGGGGTCAGTGCTATAGCGTAGTATTTTAAGCCACTGCCTGCAGGACTGGCATCCTGTATGTGTGCTAGTTCCAGTTGTGACTGCTGCATTTCTGATCCAGCTCCCTGCTAATGTTCCTGGGAAAGCCGAAGATAGGCACCTGAACCCCTGTAGGAGACCTGGAAGAAGTTCCTGGCTCCTGGCTTCAGCCTGACCCAACCCCAGCTGTTACAGCCATTTGGGTAATGAGCCAGCAAATAGAAAATCTGTTTCTCTCTCTCTCACAGTGTAACTGAATTTCAAATAAATAATCTTTTAAATATTTTAAAATATATATAAAATAAAATCCAGAATTTTCACCCTTACAGAATGTTTCATGCTGCAAACGTGACCATCTTTATTCTCTATCTACTGGGCATTGGGTCTTTCTGACTTTCTTCACATTCTGTCTTACATTACATTCATTCTGTTCTTGTATCCTGTAAACTCACTATTTCCTCCATCTGTAGTAGTGCTGTCTTCATCTTAATGCAGATGGATTCTCCTTATCAACTTGAGTCACAAACCAAATGTAAGAATATTTAAAGAAGTTCTTTCAAAAATAGGCTTTTTCTGTGTATAATTCTTTACATGCATTTTCCCATGAACATTTTTAAATCCTTTAGCATGCTTGGACTTAAAGTTGATTCATTAAAATTACCTTATCTTTTAAAGTTTTATTTATTTGAAAGGTAGAGTGTTAGAAAGAGAGAGGAAAAAGAGAACTCCTGTCTGCTGGTTCAGTCCCCAAATGGCAGCAACACCAGTGGTAGGCCAAGCTAAAGCCAGGAATCTTAAATTCCATCTTGGTCTCACATGCAGGTAGCAGAGAACCGGGTACTTAAGCCGGCTTCCACTGTTTGCCCTGTCAAATTATCAGGAAGTCAGGAGTCAGAAGTGGTGCAGCCAGAATTCGAAGTGGGATTTGTGTGAGATGCTAGTGTCATGGGTGTTGGCTTAACTCATTGTGCTACAGTGCCAGTCCTGCACTAATTTTTTTAAAGTATTGTATAGTGTTTTCTCAGAATCCATTTCCAAATATTCAATCAGAAGTAACCACTCAGTAATTTTCTGCTAACACCCGTAGTACTTATGTCAGCCATCCAATATTTTTCTTGATTCCTCACTAAAATGGGAATAGTGTTTCACCATTTTTAACCCCCAAAACAAGAACAGAACAAGACATGGTGCATGCCTAACCAGTGTTCATTGAACAAATAGGTACACTGATATTAAACTGTTTTATATTAACCATGAGTAAATGTATAAAAACTAGGCAGTTTGGATATGTGCTTTCATTTGTAGCCATTAGAAGTGGCTAAGGGATATGTATTTGTTTTGTATAATATACATTCATAGTTATTTGCAGTTAATATGTTTGTGTTAAAGAGAATAAACACATTATTTGAAGTTATGAAAAGGTATGTTATTTTCTTTTAAATTCCTAATACTCATTGTGCAATGTTTAAATAAGGTATTTCTTCTCCCTTATTGATTTTTCCATTTAAATTAGAAAGCCTTGAGATGAGGAACATGAAACTGTTTGTTTTTGTTTAAGACTTTTTATTTTTATTGGAAAGATAGATGTACAGAGAGAAAGATCTTCCATCCACTCCCCAAGCAGTTCACTCCCCCAGTGGCCATAGTGGCCGGTGCTGAGCCAATACCAAGCCAGGAGCCAGGAGCTTTATTCCAGGTTTCCTACTCAAGTACAGGTTCGCAGGGCTTGAGCTATCCACTACTGCTTGCCCAGGCCACAAGCAGGAAGCTGGAGGGGAAGTGGAGCAGTCAGGATATGAACCAGTGCCCATTTGGAATCCCAGTGCTTGCAAGGCAAGGATTTAGCCACTAGGCTATCATGCTGGGTCTGAAATTTTTTAGTACCATTCCCTCAAAACCAAATCTGATCTCCCTCTGTATTGGGCAGTTACTCTTCTGTGACTGGTAGGAATATTAATCATGTAAGTTACTGGATCTGTTGTACAAATTGATTTTTCCTCGTCTCTGAACATAAAGCTTCTATAAAAAGGAATTCTTTTATAACAATGAATAGCAATGTGAAGCTTATTGAGCATTAATTTGTTTTTTGTAGATCTCTCATGAACCCAGAGGGAAGATATGACCAAGGAAAAAAAGACATATAAAATATTACTTTGTCTTACAGAGTAACAGATTAGCAAGAGACAATGAATTAAGAGAAAATGATAAAGAACAGCTTCGAGCAATTTGTACACGAGATCCTCTTTCTGAAATCACAGAGCAAGAGAAAGACTTCTTATGGAGCCACAGGTGGAGTTGCAATGGAAAAATGTTTTCTGTCTGTTACAAAAATTGGAACTTTGTCTTGGACAAACTTGCCATATTTTTACCAGAATAAATCATAATCTACATATTTATTATTCCTTTCTTTAAAATTATGACTTGACTCATATGTCCAGAAAGGCGTAAGGTTATGTTTCTTCCTACTTTTGATATTGCAGCCTTTTTTACTTTCTCACCCTCTAATAGGACTTTTAAGGGATTTTTTTTTAACTGTTAAGGAATTTTTGTCCATAAAAATCAATATTTTTTAAAAAGTAGTTTTAGATCAATTCATTTATGATTTAGTTGATCTGAATATAATTAATTTCAGTTCTCACCTATTTTTCTTGCACTTTTTCAAAGTGAATGACTATTTTAGTTATAGTGAAAGTATCCTACTTGTTAAATGACATTAGTATATTATAAATTACAATGTATTTCTGCAGAAAGATTATTAGAATAGGTTTTGTTCAGTGGTAACAAAATTGGTGACTCTGTGGTTCATGCTGCCTAAGTGGGTGGATAGTATTAACCATATATAAAAAATACTAAAACATACCAAGAATTTTTCTGAATTGCCAACTAAATGTAAGTCCCTCTCCATTTCAATGTGCCTTCTGTTGCCTTGGCTGTCTTAACCATGTCTCTGTGTATTTTAGGTACATATACAACTAGCGTTAAGCACTGATATCTTCTGATATAAACTAGGATATAAGAATGTTTTTATTTTCTTTCATCTTTTCCATGCAGACATTATTGTGTAACGATCCCAGAGATTCTACCCAAATTGCTTCTGTCTGTTAAATGGAATTCTAGAGATGAAGTAGCCCAGGTAAATGCCATGTTTGGGATTATTACACAAATTGATCTATTATGCAAATTGGTTAATTCAAAAATGTTCAAATATATAAGATGAAATAGCCTGTTTTAAATTAGTAATGGTAATGTTCTAGAGAAACAATTTCTCATTTCCACAGAAACTACTAATTAGAACTGAAAATGTTAATCCATCTTTAAGGGAATTTTCCATATAAACTGATTTTAAGGTCAGATTAAGACCAGGTTTCAGAGAATCTCTCTCTTTGCTTTTTAAAGATGATGTCTTGTCTTCCTCCTACACAGATGTACTGCTTGGTGAAAGACTGGCCTCCAATCAAACCAGAGCAGGCTATGGAGCTCCTGGACTGCAATTACCCAGATCCGATGGTTCGAGCTTTTGCTGTCCGATGCTTGGAAAAATATTTAACAGATGACAAACTTTCTCAGTACCTAATTCAGCTAGTACAGGTAAAATAATGCAAATAGAAAAATGGTGTTTGATTAATTGCTTTATAAATAATCAACTTTTATGAGTTATACCTATATTCTTCCTGAAAACTTTTCTTTAGACTATCCATATAGAAATTGATGCTGATTCATGTGGGGTTTTTGTTTTTTAATCACCAGGTCCTAAAATATGAACAGTATTTGGATAACCTTCTTGTGAGATTTTTGCTTAAGAAAGCACTGACTAATCAAAGGATTGGGCACTTTTTCTTTTGGCATTTAAAGTAAGTCAAAGTAATTCTCTATTAAATTCTTTAGATATCTGTTTATTTGCTTTCTTCACAGATGTATAAATATTTAATGCTCTGTACTTCAGGGTTTTTTTTTTAGACTTTTTAAAGATTTATTTTATTTTTATTTGAAAGGTAGATTTACAAGGAGAAGGAGATAACAGAGGAAGATTTCTGTCCGCTGGTTCACTCCTCAAGTAGCCGACCTGAAGCCAGGAGCCTGGGCTTCTTCCGGGTCTCCCATGAGGATGTAGAGTCCAGAGGCTTTGGGCCACCCTCTAATGCTTTTCTAGGCCACAAGCAGGGAGCTGGGTGGGAAGTGGGGCAGCTGGGACATGAGCCAGTGCCCAAATGAGATCCCAGTGTGGGCAAGCCGAGGATTTAGCCACTGAGCCATTCCACCAAGCTTTTATTTATTTTGAAACAGTTGAGATGGGAGGGAAACAGAGCAAAATCTTCTATCCACTGATTCATTTCCCACATGCCCATAATGGCCATGGCAGGGCCGTTCCTCACCCAGGATCCTTAAGGCTTTATCTGACTCTTGCCATGCGTGGCAGGGGTTCACATACGGGGGCCATCTCCTTTTCCCAGGAGAGCTGGATTGGAAGTTTAGCAATTGGGACACAAACCAGCACACTTATGGAATGTCTACTTCACTGGTGACTGCCATAAGGCTTAACCCTGTACCTTAGATATTGTTTGGCCGGAAGAATTTTCCTTAATGAAATATGGTGATGATAACTTTTTCTCTCCAAAATTAAGTAGGCAGTAAAATTTAAAACTAGATTGTGTTCATAATTGAGAGCTATAATACTTTCAGATTATAATTCACTGTACGCAAGATAAATTTTACTAGAGCCAGATTAGTGTAGCCATAGGTTTCACACTATGTATGGATTGAAATATCCTAAAATTAATTTAAAATAAAAACCTTAAGAGTTAAGAATATTACTGGTGAAAATCCCATATTTCTTACTTGAAAACAGGCTAAGAATAACATAATTTGTAGAATGTGACATTGCTGGTACTCAGAGGTCATCAACTGTCTACTTTCTTTATAAATCCAGAAACATATTGCTAAGTAATGTGATCTTATTTTCATGTTAAGATAAGAACATGACACCTAGCAGCGAAGTTTAACAGATTTAGAGAAAATATAGAAAAATGCAAATACACCAGAAGAGCAAGTTTTCTTGGGTATTTGTACCCAGCTATTTTTGCTTCATTTTGTGTCCCGTTTCATTTATTCTTGTAATATCCTGTATTGAAATTAATGAATGGAGAGTAGTTGAAATAAACATAGAAATTATAGTTATTAAATTTAAATGTCTAGGAGCTACCTGAAACTCTGGTTTTGCTTCTGAGTCATAGGTTCTTTATCATGTTACTGTTAGTAGTGTTTATGCTTTTAAGATCTTTTGTTTTGTTTTCATCTTTTACTGTTTTTCTTTTTTAGATCCGAGATGCACAATAAAACAGTTAGTCAGAGGTTTGGCCTTCTTTTGGAGTCCTACTGCCGTGCGTGCGGGATGTACCTGAAGCACCTGAATAGACAGGTTGAGGCTATGGAAAAGCTCATTAATTTGACTGACATTCTCAAACAGGAAAAAAAGGATGAAACACAAAAGGTTTGTGATTCTTTTTTTTTTTTTTTAAAGTTTGTTTTTGAGATATGATTTGTTCTGTGGGCATGACTGATTAGAAATGTAGTGTATATGTAGGTCATGGTTCCTGAGATCAAAGCGGGTTAGGATCCAAGTTTCACTGCATCTCACATAATACAAAATGAAAATAGTTCTTTGTAGTATTCTTGTGAGAATGAAATTACCTGAGATATACAAAGCTCTTGTCACACAGTCTTTAAGCCACATGAGGTACACAAAAGTTGTTTTTACTTTCCGCCCCCCCCCCTTTTTTTTTAAAGATGTATATTTTTTGTTTGAAAGGTAGGTTTTGCCAAGAAATAAGGAGAAACACAGTGAGGTCTTCCATCCACTTGATCACTCCTCAAATGGTCATAAAGGCCTGAGGTGAGCCTGTTGGAAACTGGGGGTCAGGAGCTTCTTTCGGATCCCCCATGTGGGTGCAGGACCCAAGGACTTTTGCTAGTCTCTGTTGGTTCCCCAGGACATAAACAGGGAGAGCTGGGTTGGAAGTGGAGCAGCCAGGACACAAGCCAGTACCTGTATGGAATGCCAGTGCTAGCAGACAAAGGAATAGCCTGCTGCACCACAGTGCTGGCCCTCCTCCTCTTTAATTTGATTTTTGATGTTGTTCTACATAGTTGATCAAAGTGAATAGGGTCAAGGATCAAGAAAGAGTGGGTAAGACCATTGTTTACACATTTTCTTTTTCTTCTTCCTGTATATGGTGGGAAGAAGGGGATACAAGAGGAGAAGCCATGCCCAGCCTGCAACCACCACGTTACCCAGGGTATGGGGAACTGCCACCTGATGTCATCCCAGGGTCCCCATTGTGGAGCATTTTCTGAGGATTTTGCTCATGTGGCTGCAATAGTTCCAAGATGCTGCTGATATCACCACTCCAAGAATGAGGAAATTTTTCCAAGGTCGATTGGCTGTCCTAGTCTATCTTCGAGTCTCCTTTGGCCCAGAAATTTGCTGTCAAGCTTCACTGGGATAGTTAATCAGTTTGTTCTGCCCTCCTTCCTCTGCAAACCAGTGGGCACTACAACCCAACCCAGCCCAGCCCAGCCCTGCCCACCACACACTTGGCCCTCACGTACCATAGGGGGAGCTGCAGCCCAGTCAGAGCAGTCCCCAGTAACCCCCCAGCTCTGGTTCCTGTGCCTGCCAGCATGTGCAGTGGCCTGGTCCGGTCTGTCCCATATCCCCTCAAGATCTTGTATACATCACTGGGCAGTGAAGCCTAACGCAACCCAACCAACCTTACGCTCCAGCCAACCCTCATGTCAGCAAGTGCCACCACCTGTCAAGCCTGGCCCACTCCCAGTCCTGATTCTCATGCTCACCAGTAGGAGTTGCAGCCCATCAGCAAGGTGCCTACAACCTCCCCACTGGACCCACTCCCTACCCTGGATATTACACTGTTCAGGTGGTTCTGCAGTCTAGCTTGACAAAACTTGTCCCCAGTCCCAACACTTGCCAGCTGATGCTGCGACAAAGCCCAGCCTGCCTGCCCTTGTTCTGGCTCATGCCTACACCAGTGGATACAATCGGTTAGCCCAGCTTGGTTCTCCCCTCTAAGTCAGTTCACTTTTAAGCCAACAGGTGTTGTAACCCTCCCAACCTTGTCTGTCCCCAGTTCCAGCTCTCATGCTCACCACCATAAGGAGTGGTCTAGCAGTATCTGCTTTCTTTTTTATGGAACCCTTCTTTCCTTGTTCAATTATTTATTTTCTCATAGCAGGATCAAAAAATAATGGAAAGAAACAATTTTTATGTTTTGAAATTATACTTGCGATACGCTATAGTCATCTGTAAAATTGTTTAGTGTAATTAGGAAATATTAACAATAATTTAAAGATTTTTCATTATCTTTTCCTACTCCCATTTATTCAGTCTAATCCATCATATACTTCTGGAAAGAGTGAAATTATTCCTTACCTCTTGTGAAATGGGGGCTAGTAGAAAATATTGCTAGTGAGTACCACAAATAACAAGTACATAAATTAACAGTACTGAACAGTACTAAATTTTCCCGAACATTATCATTGTTACTTGGAGGAAAAATAAAACCTTTAGAAATGAAAGTTACTCTATGAATTTAATCACATAGTGTGTAACTGAATTGGTTTTAATTTATGTTGTAATTAAATATACATAAATTCTTTTCAAATATTAGTATATTAGAAAATGTACTGCTCCTGATACTAGACTCTATGGGCTAGAGGGGACTTTACACACTTAAGAACAAAACTTATCATACCTAAACTAGATACAGACGTTTCTTTCTAAGTCAGAATTATATAAATTGGACATGATACAAAGGATTTATTGGGAACATGAAATTTATTACTTAAATCATTGTTAGTGTAAATGAAATTGTGCTGGAGAACTGAAATTGAAGTGCTGGATGCAAAAGCAGTTGCTTTGAGTGGTTTTGTGTCCTGCTGTAACAGTGAGTGATAAAAGCAATGGAAAAAGAAATGCCCTCAGTGTGAGTACCTTAGCCCATGATCACAATTCACTTCAGTATAGGATGAAGGGGGAAATTATTTTTTTAATTTAAGCATAATCTTAATAATTCTTATTAACTTTTATTAAATCTTTTTATCAACTTGCCTACCCCACCCACATTAAAATTTCCAACACATGCATGTTTCCTAAAATAAAATATCAGGTATCACATGATAGCTCAATAGTCTAGCCACTGGTCTCAATTGATTAAAAAGGGATATTTCTTGTAACCAAACCCTGAATGTAATGTGAGACTTAATGTAACAAATATTTTCAAAGTCCTTTTCCCAGCAGTTTACTTTAGCTTCATTAAAAGTATTTACCCAACAGAGTATAAATGTGATATGTCCTAAAAAGCTTGAAATTAAGATCCTTAAATTGGGCCCAGCGCGGTGGCGCAAGTGGTTAAGTCCTCGCCTTGCACGCCTGGGATCCCATGTGGGCGCCGGTTCTAATCCCGGCAGCCCCGCTTCCCTTCCAGCTCCCTGCCTGTGGCCTGGGAAAGCAGTCGAGGACGGCCCAAGGCTTTGGGACCCTGCACCCGCGTGGGAGACCCGGAAGAGGCTCCTGGATCCTGGCTTTGGATCGGCATAGTATCGGCCCGTTGCGCTCACTTGGGGAGTGAATCATCGGATGGAGGATCTTCCTCTCTGTCTCTCCTCTCTGTATATCCGCCTTTCCAATGAAAAAATAATAAAAATAAATCTTTAAAAAAAAAAAAAAAAGATCCTTAAATTAAGTTTCTATGGACTTTGTAGTTTTTCCTCTACAACAAAGTGGAACAGAGCTTTTCGACAGTCTGCGTGGTTTCGGTTTTAACTATTCAACTCTGTGATTCTAGTATGAAGTCAGTTAATATGTAGTGAGTGTATGGCTACATCCTAACAGAGCTTGAAAAAACAAATGATCAGCAGTCCATAATTGAGCAACCCTGCTCTAGAACCAAAACTCAGCAAGCAGAATTTATCTTGCCCCCAGATGTGTATGATGCCATTTTTGACTGTCACTGAGTTACAGGGCTCTGTGCTATAGAAACCTTCCTGTTTACAATCTATTCCTCAGATGTGAATTTAGAGACCTCACCATACTGAAGCATCAGTGTTAAAGATATTAGCTGTTAGTTTTACTTTTTATAAAACAGTTTGTATTGTATTTTTTTTTAATCAGGTTCAAATGAAGTTTTTAGTTGAGCAGATGAGGCAGCCAGATTTCATGGATGCCCTACAGGGCTTTCTGTCTCCCTTAAATCCTGCTCATCAACTAGGAAATCTCAGGTAAGGTGCTTCCTTGGGAGTTGTATTGATATGTTTAAGTCAGTAATTTTTCTAGAAAAAAAGTTGAGGAAAACCAGAATGTATGTTATAATTAGGAGGTCAGTAGGCTATCCTATTCCTTCCTATTCTATCCTGCAAACAGTTTCAAATTGAATGTCTTCATAATGACTATCTACTACTTTAATAAAGTTTAAAACATTTAGTAGCTGTTTGTATAGCTAAAATTTCTGATGTCCTAGAATAAGAAATGAAATGTATCTGTAAAACTAGTGGTATGTGCCCATGTCATATAAAAATTTCTTAAAGCTTGAGATTTTTTTCTTTACACTTCTTAGAAATAAATTCATCAAAATTGAGAAAGTTTAGAAACCGTAGCACATCTAAAAGCTGTACTGTATATGTATTTATAATAAATTTGAGGATAAGAGAAATAACAAAGCTAAGGTACTTAGTAAAGTTTTTACCTATTTTAAAGGCTTGAAGAGTGTCGAATTATGTCCTCTGCAAAAAGGCCACTGTGGTTGAATTGGGAGAACCCAGACATCATGTCAGAGTTACTGTTTCAGAACAATGAGATCATCTTTAAAAATGGGGATGGTAAGGAAGAGTGTCAATGAGCCTCTGATCCCAGAGTGTAGCTACCGTTCTCTACACAGGATATTTATAAACTGTGAAAACTAATGAAAGCAGTTTGAAGAATACACATGTGAAAAAATACAATACAGGCAGATGTTTTTATGCTTGTAATCACACACACAGAGAAAGGAGTTGAAGCCGTTACCCCAAAAGATGTTGCTTTAATGTGTTTGTTATTTTGAGCTAAGGACAGTGGAGAAGCAGTGGGTTTCTCTGCATTCCACTCACATGCCTGAAGGTGGATCTTCTAAAAAGAAATTCAGTTGTCCTTAGTATCCTCCCGGAATCTACAGGAGGGCTAACCCCTACAGTTGTAACCTGAATACTTATTTTTATTTTTAATGAGTATGCATGTGTAGAGGAGAGAAAAATGGCTTCCCTCTGCCCTTCTGTTTCTTTGGTAAGACAGATTAACATATGAAAAACAGAATTTAACTATATACACACAGAAGTTCTACAGACTGTGAGACTTGAAAAACATTGAAATGGTTAAAGCTTCGTAGCATCATGATCCTACAGAAAAGAAGAAGAGTTTGGGGCTTCTGGTATATGAGGATAGCACAAGTTATGGGAGGATAAGAAATATTTGTGAAGTAAAGATTGCCTTCATGTGAGAGGTCCTGAGAAAAGTCACCATCTCTTGAATGTGGTGCCTCCCTCCAGTTGATGTTCCCTTGTTGAGTTGACGTTCCCATACTCTTTCAGGATTGGAAGTACTAAAGCAGTTTCTGTTACTTGCCTGAATTATATAGCATCCATTCATTCCCTATTCTGTGAGTGAGACCATAGCACATGGAGTTGTAGCGGTAAAACAGAACCTCAGTTTCTTGAAGTGTATAGTCTTTAACAAGGAAAAGAAGTGCATTAAACAAATAATTACAAAAGTTACAGCAAAAGTACAAAGGAAGAAAGAGGTCTGTTAAGGTGACATATGAGATTTAATTTATTTGTACTCTTTGCTATTGGGAGAGGAGAAGATCATCTTGGGCTTTTTGTTAGGAAAATGACATCTCAGTAGGCTAAAACTGATATATATTCAAGAGAAAAATAAATAATGGTTTTAAAATTTTTGTGAAATAATGTGCTTGATTACCCTAATGTTATAGTTACATTAATGAGGATATGTTAGAATTAAAGAATCAGAGTCTTGCTTTCTTATTGTTTTGAAGTATAAATATAGCTATACTTATTTTTTGTATGATCCCCAAATTGCATTTATTACAATCAGTGATACACATTATTTCAATTTCAGATTTACGGCAAGATATGTTAACACTTCAGATTATTCGCATTATGGAAAATATCTGGCAAAATCAAGGTCTTGATCTTCGGTGGGTAGCAGTTAAAGCAACCTGAATGCTGAAACTTATCCTGTAAAAGTAAACTATTAGTATTAATTATAGAAACAGCTATCCAATATATATATTATATCTATGTAATTAATAGTAGTTAATTTCTAAGGTAATTTCATTTATCCTCATCTTTCTTGTCTTGAATTAGCCAGTAAGTATCATCAGCCAGGTAAGAAGAAGAGCTATTTACTTGTATGTGTGTGTGTTTGTGTAATTTATTTATTTTTCTTGGAAAGGTAGATTTTACAGAGGGAAGGGTCTTCCATCTGTTCTTGGTTCTTCCAAAAGTGGCCGCAACGGCTGGAGCTGAGCCAGTACGAAGCCAGGAGCTTCTTCTAGGTACAGAGACCTAAGGCTTCAGGCCATCCTATACTGCTTTCCCAGGCCAAAGCAGTGGACTGGATGGGACAGGAACCTGTGCTCATAGCCCATATGGGATCCCAGCGCATGCAAGACATTATCCACCAGGCTACTGTACCTGGTCCCAAGGAGAGCTATTTCTTTTTTTTTTTTTCTTTTTTGTTTTTTATTAATCTTAGTTAATTAGGGTACAAAGGGTCACGGGCTACAGGGTGAAAGTGGGTAATATCATTGTTTCCACACTAATATAATCATTTTGCCCTGTATCTGGGGTTAGGGGAGTAACAAAGGGAAAAGCCCCACCCTACCTCCCACCCATCCCCAATCCCCAACATGAGGCGGACTCCAAGGGTCCTGCTCAAACAGTTTTGATAGTTCATCACGTCTGGATTGCTGCCAATCTCACTGTCCCAACCACAATGAAACCTATTCAGAGTCCACTGGCTGACAGTCTCTTGATGGTTGGGGTTCCAAGATTAGCAGTTCAGTTGGAGAAATATCCAAAGAAACTTCATCTGAGTTGATCCCAGATCTGATTCTTGAGTGAGTTTGCTAGTACAGACTCCAACACTGTTCGTCACACCAATCAGCTTATGCATATGCTGGTCGTTGCGATTGCTGGGTCCGTTCGGCTTCCAGCCCTGTCTTCCTTGTGAACCAACGGGTGTTGTAGTCCAGCTCGATTCTACCCGCTTCATACTCGGTCTTCATGCAAACCAGTTGGAGCTGCAGCCTAGTTGGTGTGACTCCCCAAAACTTCTACCAGTTCTGCCCCCTACCCTGGTTCCCATGCTTGCCAGTATGCACCACGGGCTTGTCCAGTCTGTCCCACATCCCATTTAGCTCTCACACACGTCAATGGACATTGAAGCCTGGTTCAACCCAACCAACCTGTTATCCAGCCCATACACCCACTGGCAGGTGCCTTTCTGTCTAGCCCGCCCTGCTCCTAGCCTGGGTTTCGTGCTGCCCAGTGAGGGTGGTAACCCTGAGGGAGGTGCCCACTATTTCCCTACTAGGCCACACCCACTCCCAGAGTATGCAGTCTCGAGGTGGTTTTGGCATTTGACTTGACAGAATTAGCTCCCAGTACCAGCCTCTGCCAGCTAATGCTGTGGCTAAGCCCAAACACCCCTCAACCCACTCTAATTTTACCTCGCACCAGTCAGAACAGTCAGCTCACCATGAGGCCCACAGGTGCTATAGCCCTGCCTAATCTGAACTGCCCCCATCTGTATTCACACTTTCCAATGGAAGTAGTTATCCAGCAGGGGTGCCCACGTTCCCCTGTTGGCTTTGCCTCCGCCCCGATTGTCACATATGCTGTTTGCGAGCTGCAGCCACATCTGGTACGGCTCATCTCACCTTGGCATTACTTGTTGTGTACTGGTATGTGTTGCAACCGAACCTGGCTCGGCCCACACTCTGTTCTGGTGCTCGGATTCACCAGAAGGTAATGTGAACAGGTTCAGCCTGGTCTGCCCCCAACCCATGCCATGTGTATGCCAGTGGGATAATTTCCATTGCCTGTTCTGGGTTGTTCCCTATTGTGCTTCTTGCACTTACCTGCATGGGACTGTGTCCTGCCAGAGGAGTTGCCCAGGCTCCTCCACCAGAACCTCTCCCAATGCCAGTTTTCACGCATACCAGTGGGTTCATGAGCCAGCATTACTCAGTTCACCTCCTATCCTAGGAGGAACAGTGGCTTTTCCTGACTGGCCTTCGACCCAAGCTGGTTCTTGTTGTTGGATATTTCAACCCAGCCATGGCTCTTCCATACCCCCACACAGCTCACACATGGTTCAGTAAGGGCTGAGACCTAGCCTAATCCATCACACATCTCTCCCCGGTCCTCCAGACCACCGGATGGTGTTGGAATCTGGCCTGGCTTGGTGCTTCCCGTCCCAGTCCACACTTGTGCCAAGTGAGATTACAATCGTATCCTGATCAGAATGCAGCCTCAGTTCCAGCCCATGCGCTCCTTGGTGGGAAACTCAACCCAGCTAGGGTGTCCCGTTATTTCCCCACCTGGGCCTCTTCCCTTCCATAGAGCAGGTGCAGGCTGGTGGTTGTTCTGTCTCCGCTTGGCAGAGCCCCTCATTTGTCCTGGCCCCTTGGGTGCTGTGGCTTAGTGCCTCTGCCTCATGCAGATCAGTATATGCAAGGACCTACATGGCATGAGCTGTGCTCCAACCTGAGTTCTGTTGTTTCTTGTGAGTTAAGGTTTGTTCAGCCCTGCCCATTCTGCCCCCTTCCAGTGGCAGCCCGGCCCACCCCACATCCTGTTTAAAGATGCACATTTGGGTGCTGCTGCCTTGACCTACCCTGACTGTTGTGGATTCCTTTACCCATGAGTGATGGCAGGTGGCGTGGTCACATCTAGCTTAGACCATTGCAACCCCAGCTTGCAAGCTAACCCGGGGGACTTGTATTCCAAAGGGTTGGGCCCACACAACCCCACAGAGTCTACCCCCAGCCCAAGTTCTCTTGCGTGCTGGATAGTGTCTTAATCCTGCCAAATGTGACCACTCCACAACTCCAACACTCAGTCGGGCAATGGTACCCAACACTGCCAAAGAGGCTACCATCCATAGCTTCGGTGTGGGCTAGTGTGTGGCAATCAGTGATGTTCTATACTAATATCCCGTTTCTGTATTCATAATTGAGCTGTTGCATCTATCTTACTGAAATTATCTTCTGGATACTTCCCTAAAACCACTAGGTCTTGGTCCCCTCGCATGCTTAAATCTTTCATGACCCTGTCACTGAGAATACCCGAAAATTCACTTTGCACCTACACTCAACCTAGTCTTAGTCATGAGTGACCCCAGGCAGCAACTACATATCTTGAAAACCCCAGAGTTCGCCCTGCCGGGGGGTCAGAAGACAAAGCCTGGCACCACTTGGTGCACTGGCCGCCCTGGGGGAGGCCAAGGACTCGTTCACTGCCTTGCGGCAGTGTCTTTGGCGTGAGTCCCCCACATTGGGTCTGACCCGGCAGGGGCACCCCCCACAGTCGCCACACTGCAGGGAGCGTCAGCTGCCCCCGAGCCCAAGGACCGAACTCCTCCCAAACTCCCCCAGCCGCATGGTCTTAGCAGCAGGGCGGAACTAGGAATTTCCACCCAGTTCCCAAGTTCCCTCATGCTGGACTTACCCTGAGGGAAGAGCAGGAGAGCTATTTCTAACAAGTAGTAGAGTCTGCATCTGTCTCTGAGATAACACCAAAAGGAATAAGATAGGGGAAACACAGAATGCTCATTTGTATTTTGAGGTTAATGAATATAAAATAAAATTCATAATAGAAATCTAATAATTTTAAGGCTCTAAGTTTTGTAATCTTGAAATATCTTGCAGCAAACTTTATAAAGCCAACTGCAATCTTTACCAATTTTCTGCCAAGCTTTGTACAGTTAGTAGTGTATCCAGATTCTATCATGCTTCTCGTTTTCCAAGTCACTGTTGATCTATTGATTTTTTTTCTTGATTCTTTACAAATACATGATCATTCCACCAAAAGCCACCTTCTCTGAAATTTCTTTTCTCTGTAGGAGTCGTAAGAGTCAAGTCCAGCTACAGCAGCAGTTAGATAAAGTAGAAATTAGTGGATCAAAATGTATTGTATGTGTCTTACTGATAAACAGTAAGTAGTATATAATCATTGGAAATAATAACATTTTTCAATCTAACAAATTTTTCTGGTCTAAAGTTTAATTCTAAGTACTCATGTAAAAAATATTTAAGGAAAATCTTAATAGTTTTGTTTATTACAAAAGCAGAATTGAGATTTATTTGTAACTTTTATATAAACAGGATTTGTTGGGCAGTTGACTCTTAGGAACATGAGCATGCTCAGTTGCAATCAGATAAAAGCATAAAGTAAGAGAAAATGAGCAGTACAATCTTAGGAACTTATGTATTTACCAGGACAAATAGAAGGAAAGCATCTATAGATTTAACAATTTGTACTGCCAGTGTTTCAAGAGGTATAAGAAATTACACTATAAAAGCACTGTGACTCATGGCTAGTGTTAATGAGAGTGTCTTTAACTGAATGGTAAAAGTATCCTGTTGTAGCGGCCTAAGCGGCTAAAGTACTCACCTTAAACATATCGGGATCCCATATGGGCACCGATTCTAATCCCGGCAGCTCCACTTCCCATCCAGCACCCTGCTTATGGCCTGGGAGGGCAGTGGAGGACGGTCCAAGGCCTTGGGACCCTGCACCTGTGTGGGAGACCCAGAAGAGGTTCCTGGCTCCTGGCTTTGGATCGGCGCAGCACCAGCCATTGCAGTCACTTGGGGAGTGAATTGGATGGAAGATCTTCCTCTATATTTCTCCTCCTCTCTGTATATCTGACTTTGCAGTAAAAATAAATAAATCCTTAAAAAAATTTAAAAAGCCAGAGTACAAGAAAGTAAGGGGAAAATACAAGTAAGTGACTATTAATCTATATTAGATTATGAATTTAGAAGTAAAGCTATATTTTATGAGAATAACACAGCAAGGAAAACCACACTGTAATGAATTTATGGGCCAGTGTGGATGTTAGGATTTTTCCCCAATTATCTCTTTACAGCTTCACCTTTGGCTACCTGTCCTATTTAGTACTCCTTTCTTTTAACCTATTTAATATGTGATTAAATAGGACATATCCTAAAAGCACTTCTACGTGCCAAAATATAGCTGTTATCAAGGAGGAGATTTGTCAATTGAAGTGTGAGCTGAAACTGGTAGCTTTTTATTTTTTATGGAACTTTATTTTTAGTTAATAATAAGCTAGCTACTGTTATACAAAAATGTCTGCTTTTTTCAAAATGGACAATATTTGTTTTCAAGGAAAATAGCCTTGACAGTATTTGTTGCTAGTGACAGTTTTTGAGCTTTCAAGCGTAACTTAAAATTTTGGAAAAATGTGTATCCACCACTGAACTCAGTAGTGTCCCCAAACATTCTGATTAGACTGCTAGGAAAAGTAAAAGTTGGGGTTTTTTATTTTTGTTTTTTTGGTTTTTGTTATTTAAGATTTACTTACAGGGGTGGGGAGGAGCTATAGAGAACAGTTGTGATTTTTTTTTTTTAAAGATTTATTTTTATTATTTTTTTATTGGAAAGGTGGATATACAGAGAGGAGAGACAGAGAGGAGGATCCTCCGTCCGATGATTCACTCCCCAAGTGAGCGCAACGGCCGATACTATGCAGATCCGAAGCCAGGAGCCTCTTCTGGGTCTCAAACGCGGGTGCAGGTTCCCAAAGCTTTGGGCCGTCCTCGACTGCTTTCCCAGGCCACAGGCAGGGAGCTGGAAGGGAAGCGGGGCTGCTGGGATTAGAACCGGCGCCCATATGGGATCCCCGGCGTGCAAGGCGAGGACCTTAACCACTTGCGCCACCGCGCCGGGCCCAACAGTTGTGATTTTTTAAAGTGTGATAAAATACAACCACATTTGAGAGATCTGAATAAATTAGCAAATTATGTCTTCCAAAAAAATACTGCATAGTACTGTAAACTGATACATGGGTGAGAAGTCCAGAGAAAAATTATGACAAGATTTTAATGTTGCATTTTAAACAGCTCATTGATACAGTTTCAGAATTCATATTGCAATTTGAAAAACTGCCGCATGTTAGGTTTGGCATAGCGTCAAAATGTTTAAAATTATCTGAAAAGGCTATTGTGACAATATTCCTCCTTTATCTTATTACCTGCGTGAGGCTTGATTTCTTCATTTATGTCAGTCAAAACAAGGGATTAGTTATAGAAGCATGTATGAAAGTCCAGAGAAATACTGGGCTCTGTGGCATAGGAAGTAAAGCCACCGCCTGTGGTTTCAGCATCCTTTATGAGTGCTGCTTCAGCTCCTGGCTGCTCCACTTCTAGTCCAAATCCCTGCTAATGGGTCTGGAAAACAATAGAAGATAGCCCTAGTGCTTAGTTCTTTCCCACATGTGAGAGGCCTGAAAGGAGTTCCTGGCTCCTGACTTTAGACAAACTCAGCTCCAGCCATTGCAGTTATTTGGAAAGTGGGTGGAGTTATCTTGTCTGCTATAACTGACTTTCAAGTAAATAAATCTTCGGGGGCAGGGGAAATTAACTTTAATTTTTATCTTCTCTTTAGTTTCTAATATCAGTAGATGTAATCCACCTAAATTTTCTTTTGAGTCCTTAATAATTTTTACCCATGCAAAGGAATTTTGAGACCAAAATGGGAGAACTTTTGCTGTGAACTTTTGTTTAGTTGCCAATTAGTTAACCATTTTTAAATTGACCCTTATTTTTAAAGTTCTAAATGTTTTCATTTTAATAACCAAAATAATTTTCTTTGCCCTTCTGATATACAGGTAACTGTTGTTTCAGTTGAAGGTTAAGATAAACATGGCAGGTCATTTTCAGTGTATTTCCAGAAACATGTTTGTCACACTAACAAAGCAAATTAAGTTTGTTTAATTCCATTATATAATTGTAAATGTGTTTCCCCTTTTATAGAATGTTACCTTATGGTTGTCTGTCAATTGGTGACTGCGTGGGACTGATTGAGGTAGTGAGAAATTCTCACACAATCATGCAGATCCAGTGCAAAGGTGGCCTGAAAGGCGCACTGCAGTTCAACAGCCACACTTTACATCAGTGGCTCAAGGACAAGAACAAGGGAGAAATGTGAGTTCTACCATCATTTCTGTATTCTTCTTAAGTTTTCTGTATCATGAATCTGTTAGCAGTTAGGTATATTCCTCTGAGCTAGACCACAGAAAACAGTTACAATATTTGGAAGAAACATGCTTTATCTTCTGAAATATCTGATATTATTATGTTTAAATGATCACAGTTACCTTTACTTTGATAAAATTCTGTACACTGAACTTTACTATCTAAAATGTGTTCTTATTGTTCTTTTTTAAAATTAACATCACATTTGCATTTTACTTCTAATTTATTATTAAAATGGAAAATTAATTATAATGATTTGTTTTTTCACTATAATAGACCATATTCTGTGGTAAGGGAAGATGTGGAGATTTCTTTTTTAAAAAATGTATTTTTTATTGGAAAAGCAGATTTACAGAGAGAAGAAGAGACAAAGATCTTTCCACTGGTTCACACTCAAGTTGGCACAATAGCCGAAGCTGAGTCAATCTGAAGCCAGGAGCCAGGATCTTCTTCCAGGCCTCCCATGTGGGTGTAGGGTCACGAGGCTTTGGGCCATCCTCTACTGCTTTCCAGGGCACAAGCAGGGAGCTTCATGGGAAGTAGAACAGCTGGGGCATAAACTGGTATCCATATGGCATCCTGGTACATGCAAGGCGAGGATTCTGTCACTAGGCTACCACCCCAAGACCTGGAGATTTTCGTTGAAACTCCTGAAGATGAGAATTTCAAGGAGCTGACATTGTTACAAAGCAGGTTAAATATTACTTTCAGCGTTGGTATCCCACTTGAACACCTGTTTGAACCCCTGCTGCTCTACTTCCCACCTAGCTTCCTGTTAATGTGCCTGGAAAAGCAGCCGAGGATGACCTAGTGCTTGGGCCCCCGCATTCACATGGGAGTCCTAGAAGGAGTTCTTGTCCGTCCTGGTTCCATCCTGGCCGATTTTCTCTCTCTCGCTCATTCTCACCCTCTCTCATTCTCACCCTCTTGCTGTATAATTATGCCTTTCAAATAAATAGGCGAATCTTAAAATATCAGGGGCCAGAACCATGCATAGTAAATTTAGCCTCTGACTGCATTGTCAGCGTTCCATGTATGTGCCTGTTCGAGTCCTAGATAATCCATTTCTGACCCAGTTCCCTGCTAATGTACCTGGGAAAGCAGTGGAGGATGGCCCAAGTCTTGGGGCCTCTGTACCCACGTGGGAAACAAGGAAGACACTCTTCTGTCCAACCATTGTGATTATTTGGGAAATTAACCAGTGAGTTGAAGGTCTCTCTGTTTCTCCTTCTCTCTTCATAAATCTGCCTTTCAAATAAAAACAAGTAGCTCTTTTGTTTAAAAAAAAATTTTGAAGTTCAAAATTCCTCACATCTCTGGCCATGAATACCTTTCTTCTGTAATGTCAGTGAGTGTGTGTAGCCTGTGTCCATTTCCACTCTACTCATGAGGTATTTATTTCTTCTTCATAGATACGATGCAGCCATAGACCTGTTCACACGTTCGTGTGCTGGCTATTGTGTCGCTACTTTCATTTTGGGAATTGGAGATCGACACAATAGTAACATCATGGTGAAAGATGATGGACAAGTAATGACTTTCTCTTTTTAAAATGTTCTAATGCTCTTAAACTACATTTATTAATTTTAGATATGTACCTGCATTATGAAACTAATATAATTTTTCTTTTTGAAAGCTATTTCATATAGATTTTGGACACTTTTTGGACCACAAAAAGAAAAAATTTGGTTATAAGCGAGAACGTGTACCATTTGTTTTGACACAGGATTTCTTAATAGTGATTAGTAAAGGAGCCCAAGAATGCACAAAAACAAGAGAATTTGAAAGGTAAATTCAAGAAATCAAAAGCACAGAATCAAAATTCTTGACACTGTACCTGAAACAATTGGTATTTTTCAATTTAGAATAACATTATTTAGCAGAATGGTTTTAGCAAAAGCTGAATGTTTTAATATTTATACATTTGTTATGATATTGAGAAGAATAAAGAAGGAAATCAGTTTAATCTGGTGAGTTAATCAAAAAGAAAATAGTGCTAAACTTTATAGCACACTGAAAATTTTGATTTACACCCGTTTGAAAAATTGAATTCTACAAATGATGGATAATGCTTAAAACCAACATTTTTAGTCATCCAATTTGAAGAAGTTAGTGAAATGTAATTGCTGTGATTGATTATCTTATTATTTCTCTTAACCACCTTGTGCTGTTTTATTAGTTTGTTTTAGACCTTGAGGTACTTTTTTAAACTTTTCGTAAAACTGTTTATCTATAAATTAGTGCTGACCTAGACTGAGCCTAAAGTTTCTGTTGTAGATCAATTCATATGCTAATAAATACTTAATAATTTTCTGATGGGCCACTCATTATTTTAGGTGTTGGAGTGGAGACATAGTAGTAAATAAAGTCTTCACATCCAGTAGTAAATAAAGTCTTCACATCCTAGTGGAGAAAGTGAATGGAAAAGTGTTGACAGAAGACTGTGTTCTTTGTATGTTGTGTTTAAAAGCCTCTAAATATGTACAATGAGCAGAGACCTGAGCATAATGGCTTCCTACTGACCAAACTATTCTTACTACTTATAGGTTTCAGGAAATGTGCTACAAGGCTTATCTAGCTATTCGACAGCATGCCAATCTCTTCATAAATCTTTTCTCAATGATGCTTGGCTCTGGAATGCCAGAACTGCAATCTTTTGATGACATTGCATATATCCGAAAGACATTAGCCTTAGATAAAACTGAGCAGGAGGCTTTGGAGTACTTCATGAAACAAATGAATGATGCACATCATGGTGGCTGGACAACAAAAATGGATTGGATCTTCCACACAATTAAGCAACATGCATTGAACTGAGGTGATAACTGACAAACTGAGAGCTCAAGGTCTGGATTCTACACCGCACTGTTAACTGTCAGCAAGCAAAGACTGATTGCATAGGAATTGCACAATCCATGAACAGCATTAGAACTTACCGCAAGAACAGGAATAAAATACTATATAATTTAAATAATGTAAATGCAAACAGGGTTTGATAGCACTAAACTAGTTCATTTCAAAATTAAGCTTTAGAATAATGCGCAATTTCATGTTATGCCTTAAGTCCAAAAAGGTAAACTTTGAAGATTATTTGTATCTTTTTTTAAAAAAACAGAACAAAACAAAAATTCCCAAAATATACATAAACGATGGAGAAGGAAAAAGAAAGATGTTGTATTTGTCTTGTAAATGCTCCGCGCCTTGAGATGTGGACACAATTAAGGCTGTTATTGCATTAGGACTGAGTCAGCTGGAGTTTATGTTGAATTACACAGAATGAAAACAAAGAATAATTTCTTATTTTTCCCATTGCTGTTCAATTTAGTTTGAAGTGGGTTTTTTGACTCCTTGTTTAATGAAGAAAAATGCTTGGGGTGGATGAATTCTTAAGATTTCTTCAAAGACTTTTTCTTTATAATAAATCAAATCTTTTGGTGATTTGGGGGTCTTAGCTGCGCAATTTTGGGAGCAGTCACAAATGAGACCTGTAGTATGCTGGTGTTTTTGGTTTTAGATTTTTCATTTTTTTTTTTTTAACAGTATTTACAAGGATCTGACTCTTATTTCCTAGGGAAATTCTGGGCTCCCACAAAGTAAAATAATCATCCTAGAAAAAGAATGAGCAGGAGTAGTTCTCATTCCAGAGTTGTACAGTATTCACCTTAAGTTGATTTTTTTCTCCTTTTGCAATTGAACTGAACACATTTTTCATGCATGTTTTCCAGAAAATAGAAGTGAGTATTAATGTTATTAAAAAAAGATTATTTTTTTTATTAAAGGCTATTTATATTATAGAAACTATCATTAATATATATTCTTTATTTACATAATCTGTCCCATAGTCATGCATTGTTTTGCACCCCCAATTTTTTATTGTTAGTAGCAGCATGGTCAGCTTTTCTCTTGATCTATAGGTGAGGCTCAGGCACTACCCATTTATACCATTAGCCAGTGTACAACTGGTTAAGGAAAGCAGATTTAACTTCATCTGTTTTCCTTTGCTTTTGTTTCCACATGAATCCCTGATCTTCCATCTTCTTTTATAGTTGAGAATGGCTGAATCATATGAAATTAGTTGCCAAAATTAATACCATTTAGACTATTTTCCTGAATGCTAACCCTCCCCCAACCTCTACTGAGGTAAGTTCATGAATAATATTTATAATATGGAGGAACAGAAACCATGAGCCTTTTACCTTTTTAAGCTACGTATCAATATCTGAATAGTGTAAGTAGGACATTAATCCATTTTAAGATCATATCTACTATTTCCTCGTCACAGCTCACTCTGACCTTATTAAATCCCTTTCGAGTACATGACACATTCATAAACATGTTAAAAAGCATTATCCAAAATTAGGAGTTATTGTTAGTCATCACACTAGAATGTGGTATTTTATTCAGTATTTGAAATGAATGGCTAATGTCCTGGGAAATAGCTTTAGCAAATGCCCAGGTGCCACTCCAAAAAAAAAAGTGCAATAAATTCCTGACAGTTTTAGATATTATTGGAAAACAACAGTATAAAGAGTGCACACTGTAAACTCTAGTATAACATTATCACTTTTAAAATGCTCTATGAAATCAGGTACCTATACTAGAAGTCTCAAATAGTGAGCAAAGGACTCTAATACAAATACTCTTAATATCTGGCTATCTTAGGACCCTTAAAGGGCATAATTATTGAAGATTTAGGTGCTTAACTAAAGCATGTATATAATATTGCCAACAAGAAAAATGAATTTGAAGATTAGGGAAATTTATTTCTGTAAACTGTCTTGGAATAGTTAAGCAGAATTTAAACGGTTTTGAGCTGGAAAACAAGTAGATTCTTTTGCAGATAAAAAGCTCATAACTGAAGACTTCACAGTTATCATTTTATGTGATTTAGATATACCCCGCTGATACAAACTAAAATCATGATGTTTTCTATATCAGGGCTTGATTATAGGAAAACTCAGTAAATGGTATAAATCTGAAACCTTGGGGTGGAAACTGAAGATTTAACAGAGAACCATGTTTTACCTGAGTGCCAAAAAAGCCTTGAGCCTCCCCATACAGAATTTGTACAGTTTTGCATCTTTTTAACATCAATCCAGATACTTTACCCACCCACCTTCCCTACGTCCTCTCCACCATTAAAGCATACATGGCACATAACCTGTTTTATCATTTCCATTTACTTCTTAGTTATTAAAACCAAATTAATTTTGTAGGATTAAAAATAGGCAAATTTTGTAAAGAATGTAGATTAAGAAATGAAAGGAGGGACAGTAATGCTCAGAAAGGCAAAAGAAAGGACTTGACTAAAACAGAATGCTAATGGGTGCCTAGGATCTGTGTGGAAATCAATGACAACAGAGCTACTTGTGTGTACTTCAGTGTCAGAGACCCGTTCCCATGAATTGGTCACTTCCTGTAGTCAACCCTCCTTGTCACTGAACATGCTGTGACAACTGACTCTTGCCTCTACAGTTTCATTGGGTCACTTAAAACTATTTCCTTTAATAATCACTTTGGAGTAAAAAAAGAGAAAATGTATTGTAGCTAGAAATAACTGTTTGGAAATCATTCTTTAAACTTTTTACCATATTCTCAACTATACAGAAGCATTTATTTTGAATATTTTTAGACTGCTGTTAATTTTAAATCTGTTAATCGGTTTACAGAATTTGGTTTGTTTTTTTTTTTTAATGTTTCTAATTGGATTTTTTAAAGAATGGAATTTGGTTGCTATTTTCTGATAGAACCTAAGCTTTCTGTGGTTCTTAGTGTCCTGTAAAATTCAGTGTCAAGTAAATCAACTCTGAGGTTTTCCCTTCTATTATGCTTTATATTACAAGCCCATTAGGAAATGGGAACCTGGTGAATATATAATGAATTGTAAAATATTTTAATGTGTAATTTTTCAACTGTGAAACTATGACTATTGGGTTGTTTTTTTTTTTATGAAAACAGCTGCTGATCAAGTATTTTGTGTAAAGTGTAGTTCTTACTCATCAGGCAAATGATGACTTGATTAGACTGTATATGCCTTCTTGAACTTTACCTTCAATGGATTGGTGACTTTCACATAGATAAAATACAGTCCACCTGTATGCTTTTTTCCAAGTAAAACTGGGTGATTTTGCTTATGGAAAAAATTGTGAGCAATCTATTTCAAAGGCACCTTGGAAATTGCACAGCACCAAAAGTTGGATTTATTTTCTGAATGTTCTTACACATCCAATCTATGATCTGATCAGTAGCCCATCCTTGCCAACTCTGTGATGAAATTTAATTTCAGCAGTATTTTGAGGCACATTAACTTCTTATTTCTATGTCTACACAACTTCACCACCTGGGCTGGACCCATATACTCAAAGTCCACTTTAAAAAATAATTTGGTGTCCAAGACATCACTAAAATAATTCAGTTTAAAGGCAATATGTGGTGTTAATAGATTGTGGTGCTTTTTTAAGACACTTTCCTACTTCAGATGTTTTTGAGAAACAGAAAATGTGGAGGGAGAGGGTGGGACAGGGAGGAGCCATGAACCGCATTCTTTATATCCATCCTGCTCAGATGGGACTGAGGGCCATGAGACATTGTGCATGCCATGACAGAATCAGCCCTTCATGAGGGATGGGATTGTGAAGGTTGAAATGTAAATTTCAGCATGGACAGCATCCTAGATAGAAATTCTCAGTGACAAGATAATACAGCTGTGCTGTTTTTAAGACACAAACAAAACCACTTTTAATTACTACATTAAAATTGTAAATATATCTTATGTGCCATGGCCTGGAAAACCTATTTCCTTTTCTCTTAAAAGTTCTTTGCACTCTTTGAGATTATGAAGTTAAGTTCAAGGTGACTGTGGTCCTGATCAATTGGATGGTTAACTCTACCTCAGAAGACTAGGAAAAAAAGATGAGTCGCAATTCAATACAACAGGCAAAAGTCTTGCAGCACACGCTGCTTTAAAGCTATAAAAATCAGAATTGGCATGCATTCTTTTAACTGCAGTAGGAGACATTAAGAAAAGTGCCATCAATCATAGTGCCAGCCATTTGGAAAAGGCTACAGTGAGGATGTTTGTGGTATGAGGTTTCTTGAATACAGCGTTTAAAGTTTATTTTGTTCTCTTTACTTCATTGTTATCTGATATGGTATATTGGCACACATTTCTATTTGTAGATACACTGCTTTCCAGTCCTGGTCAAAAGACATCTTTTATAAAAGGTGTAAACAAATATCAAAGTTCTAAAATTCCAGAGTTTGAAATTCATTAAGAGTCTTTTCTCCCAAGTTGGGATGTTAGTCTTTAAAGAAATCTTTCATTCAAGTATTCCACTTGAATAAAAATCCTGTACTTCCTTGTTATTAATACAGCACCATTCCTTTTTCGTGGTTTTAAGTGTGTTAGTATTCCAGCCATGCTAAGTATAGAAACTGATAGGTGTGAGCCATAAGGACATTTTCTGACTTTTTTTTTTTCAGAAATATGTGTAAGAGTTATGTGGGGAAGTAAAAATTACTCCATTGTATATAAAGTGTAATTAGATAACTGATTTTCACTACCAACAGTAGATCCTATTCGTCACACTGGTGAGTACAGGGAAAGTTTTTAAATGAATTTTGTAAGCCAATTAAAGTCTATCAGTCTTATCTGCAACCTTATTTAATCTGTCACTAAGATAATTCTGTGGGTGTGCTAAGAACCATGTATATTTTTAGCTATTCTTATTTTTGTTAATCCTTCCCCTTGGCAAGAAGGCAGATAATCTTCACTGTTTTTCATTAAAACATGTTTAATAAGATTAAACTCAATTCCAGTGTGCATTTTCAAATTTCATTATCTATTGATCTCATGAGACAAAAATCCCTTATCAGATAGATTTGCTTTATGTTCTAAGAGTTGTTGGAGTACTTGTCCACATTTGGTTTCTAGAAATGTATTGTGTTATAGAAACCAAGTTTCAATTGGAGTTAATGATTTCAGTATAATTCAGTCCTTGGACTTAACTGAAGAGGATAAATCTAAAAGAATACATCCTTCTGGAACATAACACAACTGTAATTCCTTGGGGAGTATAACACTAGCAAAAGGTGACTACTAACACATCAGATAGTTAGTTTGGAAACTTCAACAGAGAAGTCAACCCATCCTTTTTAGCCCCATTGATTGTAGTAACTGTTTCTCTACATTTTGGTCATACAATGAACTAAAGTCCTGTGGTATAATGTATAAGTTAGGACAAATGCCTTTAATACTCTTCAGTGATGACCCAAAAACAAAATTTTTGACACAGCAAGATGCATGTGTTATTCTGTTGAGAATGTAGGACAATAATACAATATGACTAAATTTGAAACCTCTTCCCAGTCTTGCTGTACCTAGCAAGAAGTTTGGCCTGTGACTGCACTTACTGTTTGTGCTCATCGGAAACTGTCAATGTCTGCTTCTCTTGAACTTTGCAGTCTGTAACATCACGCTGTTTTATTAAAAAAAAAAAAAATTGCTTTGACTTGTGTCCAAATAGTCCTTAGTGTATTATGTAAGGAAAAACTGTGATAATTCTATTTTTATATTTCTTTAAAAAAAAAAAGTGTTGCTAAGAATCAGAATTTAGCTGAGTTTGCATTTTCAATAATGGCTGCAAATACATACTTAAAAATCTGAATCTGTTATGTCTTAAAAGCCAGTTTTTCTGCCTCAGTTATAACTATGAGAAATGTTATCTTTAAATATTAACTTCCTCTATGCATGAAGAACTGTATTTAAAATAGACATGTTTATACATATATATTACGATACACATGTGTATGTGTGTAAAAGATGGACCAGTGAAAGTTTGGTTAAAAGTGAAGTTGGATTAAAAGCAATCTGGTTTTACTGTTATGGTAAACTTTGGTAAACTTTGCAAAAGGTAAGTCTGGGCTTTTAACAGGAATCTACATGAGCATTGAGAGCTAGTACTTCCAAATAATTAAACAAATCATTGGTTAAATTGTATTATCTTTTTAGATGCTTTTAAGAAAAGAGAGAGAGAGACAGAGATCTGCAGTCAGCTAGTTCATTCCCCAGATGAGCCAAGCCCAAGCAGAAGCCCAGACCACCAGGTCTCCAGGTGGGTGCAGGAGCTCAAGAACTTCGGCCATCTGTTGCTGCTTTCTCAGGCACATTAGTGGGGAGCTGGATTGGAAGTGGAGCAGCTGGGACACAAACCATTGCCAGCCATCAAATGTGGCAGTGTAACCAGCTATATCACAACATAGGCTCTAGTTTTAAGGTAATTTGAACTGACTTTGTTTTCTGTGTGTAATGGCTCTTTCCTGGAATGAATCAAGTAGACACCAGAATTAAAAACTGCAATAACCAGAACATAGACTTCAGGTTTCAAATTAGTGGGTTTGAATTTGTTCACAGGAAAATATATATGTATGTGTGATATGTAATATACATGTGATCTGTGTCCAAACATTATATATAATATATAGCTATATATCAAAATGCCATATTGAGAAAAATTTATTAAGTAGAATAGAGGTGTCCTTGATATAAAGCTACAGAATCTTGGTTGTTGGATAATTTAAAATGTGTATGCGTACATAGTTTATTACATAAAAGCCTTTAATGTACAAAAGTTTATTACAGTCTTAAACACAGAGCAAGTCCTGGACCTTGAATGTTACATTTAGCCAAGAAAACGGAGCAGGTGTGGGGAGTCCTCCCTTGTCTCTCCCTGCCCTACTCTACATCAGCTGTTCCTTGAAAAATACCATGGCTTCCTAAATGTTGCAGTAAACCACAAGAGTTTTGTTTGGTTTTTTTTTTTTTTTAAGCTGCTAATGTGGTTGTAACACCCTTAGTAGATGCCAGAAACTAAACTAAACTAAATGTTTCATATGCCCTCAGACTAACCTCATGAAGGGAGAGGATAACTTCTTATAAGTGGGAAGGGAGGTTCAGTTGATTTTCCTGAAAAAGTTGTAGTGACTGCTCACAAACACAAATAAATCCTACACATGTTTTGCTGCAGCATTCCACAGTACAAAACAGGAAACACCAAGATTGTTCTGTACTGGTTAAATCTGTTCTGCTCTTTATTCAATGTATTTAGGAATTTATGACTTGAAAACAACTGATGGGGCATAAAACACATGGATTTTTTTTTTTTTTTAAGTTTGGTTACAGCTACAAATAAGTGTGATGTCTGTGATGTAAGATTTTTCAGTAAAATTTTAAAGCTACTTGGAGGCACATTGGATCATCAGAACAAACTTTCAGTTTAATCTGGAAAGCATCTGTGGGGTGCCTTATGAGGCCATTATTTAACAGCTGTGGTTGGTTGGCAGTACCAACAGTGGCTGGCTCTCCATATAAAACTTGACAGTGTAAACTACCTGAGGGTGAGTGTGGAAACTCAGTACAGCTTCTTGTGACTGCAGGTACATTTCTAGCCTTTGTTTCCATTCCCACAAAAATGTACACAAAGAATAAGATAAGCTTATGAAAAGCATAATTAATCAAAAAATGTTGCTGAAAGAAAAATTGCGTGGTTAGTCTACGGCCATACCACCCTGAACGTGCCCGATCTCGTCTGATCTCAGAAGCTAAGCAGGATTGTCCTGGTTAGTGCTTGGATGGGAGAAAAGTTAAGTGGTTCATGGCAAAGGTAAGTATAAATAATTCTAAACTGTGGATTTTTTTTTTATCATGAATGATGACTAGGCTGTCATAAATATATTAAATTTACCTTTTCTTAAGTTTCTGCTCTTTTCTATAGTGCAGTAATACACATGACAAATTTATATAGAAAGATATTTCATGTGAACTATGTTGTAGACAGTTGGGCTTGATAGTTCAATAATCAATACGTAAGATGCCTTCAGTATCTCCATATTTCCGAGTTGAACTAGAGCAGAAAACTCCTTGAACTAACTGCCACAAGGGAACAAAAAGTGCTTCCTTAGCTCATGAGAAAAGGGATTCGGAGTAGGAAGTTAATTCTTCATGTAAATAGAATATATAATGAGCCTTTTCTAAATAAACCTTCCTAACTTTACATGGTTGGTTTGTAGTCCAGTGTAATTGTGCTTTACTGCAGGAACTGAATTTGTCTGAATGCCATTGCTTTAATTTGGCCACCATCTTAGTGTCTGCTCCGGCCTTTGCTCCTCCCTGAACTCCAACGTTTGAGTTGATCTGTATGAGGGGTTTTGCCACCTCCCTCAACTCTGACTGCAGAACCATATTTTTCACACAGTAGGGACAAATGCTGTGTTAGTCTTACCATGCCAACAATCAGGACACCACCTAGCAGAGTCAGTGAAGGCCAAAATAAACAGTGAAAGATAACCATTTGGTCATACTTTTTTGTGAGAACAACATCTTCAGATTGGTGCTCTGGGCTGTAGAAGCATGAAAAGGGGGTTCCGTTTTTGTGGTCGAAGAATTCCTTTATGTCCAGAGCACTCCTGAGCAAATCATTGCCATCCCCGTGGCACTTGGGTGTATAAAAGCACTAGGAATATCGGAGGAGGAGAAAAGGAAGGACATTGTCACCAATACCAAATGTCTAACAGCTCTAATTCTGAACTCGCTAAAGATGCTGGTTTCAGTCTTCAAAGACAATAAAATGTTACCTAGTCTCTGGGAAGAGGTTGGCAGGAGGACACTGAAATGAGTCCTAAGAGGAAGTGGGAAGGAATTCTTACATTGTATGGTAACTGCAGAGACCACAAGGAACGTGTCCACATGCAAATCCTTGATCGCTTCCTGTACAGTAACCCAAGGAACCCATTTATCAATTCAGCAAGCACTACCCAATAATATTTCTGTTGTCTTTGATCTGTAGCACAATCTCTTCCTAAAGAGTAACAATTGAGGATTTTGCCCTAGGCCCACAGAGGGAGTCCACTTCCTGAGAAGCAAAACGAGTAGAGAAAAAGGGATCTATCTGTCAGCTGATGATTAAAAAAAACAAAAACCCTACAGGTTTATCAGCATTTCCTTTAGGCATTTGTTATGCTAAGGATCTACAAGAATGTTTTGAGATTAAAAATCATTGCATCTAAAATAAAAACAGGAATTATCTAATGGAAATTAGTACTTGATTCAAGACTCCAAAGAGTAACAGGCCAGATAATAGAATACCATTTAGGTATAAATATAAAACTAAAAATATGAACCAGTTATGTAACTTACTAAAATTATAATTTTAAAATTTCTTTGATTAAAAAAATCCCTTGCTAACAAATGAAAATAATTTTTTAAATTTAAACCCTTTGTTTGATTTAAAGCAAACAATCCATTGTCACATGTTTGCTCCAGTAGCCAATGAGATCACCAGGAAGTGAAACTGCCTACAAAGAGCTTGTTCATTGATTGAAACTATGAATTCCAGATGGCAAGTTGTGAAATCGAAATAACTTCCCATTTCTATGTGCCCCAATTCTCCAAGAATATTTTTAGCTTCATTTAGCCTGATTTGAGCACTGTAAAAATATCCACTTGAAGCAAATACAGGGACCCAGTAAGAATGACACTAGGTTTCTTACCCTGGTTAGGACAGTCTAGCGTGAAAGGGTAAATTTGATTAACTTTACCTTGGAATTTTTCTGGACAGTCGCTTCGTTATAACGTAGGAGAGCTTTCTGACCCAAGTGGGTGAGGTTCACAAACACCTGGAGACAGGGGTACTTGCCCTGACCCCGACAGTCGACGCCACAGGTAAAATCACATTCCAGCCAGTCGTCCATAATGCGGGTGTGGATGGCAGTGCAGTTTGACTCTTCTCTCTGAATGCTTCAATAAAAAAAAGTTCACCTACTAGAAATGTGATATTTGTAACGTGGCATCCCAAACCATCTGGCTGTTTCTGGGTCATTTAGGACCATGAAGAGCACATAAAGATCTGAGAGCATGAGATCCTAGCATTACCAAGATCAGTCTCAACTCGGCTCCTCATGGTGTGCTTTTCACTATACCAAACATAGCTTAATGTCTTTCAAACTTTCGAATCACCTAAATAAATTTGTTACAATGCACTAAAATGTGGATTTCAAGGGTTGGGGTTTTGTTTTTGAGGTTTTATTTGAGACAGAGGCGGGTCTTTCATCCACTGGCTGTCTACAAATGATGACTAGCACTGGGTCAGGCTGAAGCCAGGAGCTTCCTGGTGGGTTCCCATGTGCCTGTGGGAAGGGATCCAAGCACTTGGGCCATCCATTGCGCTCCCAGGTGCATTAGCTGGAGAGCTCGATCAGAAGTGGGCACCCTGTACTGGCAAGCACACACAAGAATCAGGTCTGGGATCAGATCTGAGATGATCCCTCCAACTGAAGTGCTGATCTCAGAACCCCAACCATAAACAGACTATGTCAGCCAGTGTATTCTGAAGAGCTCATGCGTGGTGCAGTGAGATTGGCAGCAATTCAGAACTGTTGAACTATCAAAACTGCTTGAGCAAGACCCTCAGAGCATGCCCCACATCGGGGACCTGGGATGGGTGGGGCTGTTTGG